CCAGAGAAGAGAGATCATGGGGAGACAAAGAAACAACGTGCATATGAAAGGAAAGTAGGCATCACCAGAAAAGTAAGTAAATGAGATGGAGGCAAGCAACTGTCAGAGAAAGAATTCAGAGAAATGGTCATAAGGTCTCTGAAAAGAATGGAAGACAAATTCCATAATACGTGTAAGAACCAAGAGGAAATGAAGAACCAAGAATAAATGAAAAATGACATCGCTGCTATAAAGAACTCAATAGAAAGCATCAGCAATAGACTAAAGAAGCAGAGGACCGCATCAGTGAGCTAGAAGACAAAGTAGAAAAAAATACCCAAGCAGAAGAGAAAAGCCCCACTGAAGCAAGTCTTGCCTCATAAAGGTGTCTCTAGCACAGAAGTTCTCCCATCGTAGGCACAGCTGATCCTCACAGCCAATTGGCCTGGAGGTAGATTCTTCCAGTGATACCAACAACAATCAAGGCTTAACTACAAGACTGTGCACACAGCCCACAAAGGGGTGCACCAAGAGTGTCCACCTCAGGTAACTGGGAAGGCTGAGCCATTGGGCCCTATAGGACACCTAGCACACAAAACCATTCTATCAAATCAGGAAAGCAGCCAAAATGCAGAGACAAAGAAACAGGTCACAAATGAAAGAAATGGAGGAAAAGCAAATGATAGAGTTCAAAACCATGGTTATAAGGTTTTTTTCCAACAATTTTCTAGAAAAGACTGGTAAATTTAGTGAGACCCTCAAGGATATGAACAAGGACCAACTAGAAATTAAGCATACATGAAATAAAATAATATACAGAGATCTAACAGCAGTCTAGAGGATCACAAGAATCAAGTCAAAGATTTGAAATACGAAGAAGCAAAAAACACCCAACCAGAACAGCAAAAAGAAAAAAAGAATCCAAAAATATGAAGATATTGTAAGGAGCCTCTGGGACAACTTCAAGCGTACCAACATCAGAATTATGGGGGTGTCAGAAGAAGAGAGAGAGCAAGATACTGAAAACCTATTTGGAGAAATAATGACTGAAAACTTACCCTAACTGGTAAAAAAAAAAAAATAGACTTACAAGTCCTGGAAGTGCAGAGAACCCCAAACAAAAGGAATCCAAAGAGGACCACACCAAGACACATCATAATTAAAATTTGCCAAGAGCAAAAGACAAAGAGAATATTAAAAGCAGCAAGAGAAAAACAGTTAGTTACACACAAAGGAGCACCCATACGATTGTCAGTTTATTTCTCAATAAAACTATACAGGCCAGCCGAAACTGGTTTGGCTCTGTAGATGGAGCGTTGGCTTGAGGACTGAGGGGACCCAGGTTCAATTCCGGTCAGGGGCATGTGCCTTGGTTGCGGGCATATCCCCAGTGGGGGGTGTGCGGGAGGCAGCTGATCGATGACTCTCTCTCTCATTGATGTTTCTAGCTCTCTATCTCCCTTCCTCTTTGTACAAAAACAATAAAATATATTTAAAAAACAAAACAAAATGAAAAAAAAAAACTACACAGGCCAGCCAGAGGTGGCAAGAAATATTCAAAGTGATGAAAAGCAAGAATTTATAACCAAGATTACTCTACCCAGCAAAGCTGTCATTCAGAAATGAAGGTCAGATAAAGAACTTATAGATAAGAAAAAGCTAAAGGAGTTCATCACCACCAAACCAATATTATATGAAATGCTGCAAGGTATCCTTTAAGAAGAGGAAGAACAAGAAAACAATTATAACAACAAATACATATCTATTAACAAGTGAATCTAAAAAGCAAGTGAATAAAAAATCTGATGAACAGAATAAATTGGTGAATAGAATAGAATCAGGGGCATAGAAAGGGAGTGGACTGACAATGCTCAGAGGAGAAGGGGAGTGGGGGATGCGGGAAGAGACTGGACAAAAATCATACACCTATGGAGGAGGACAGTGTGTGGGGGGTAAGGACAGACGGTGGAGGGAGCTATGACGGGGGAGAAGGGGGGAGGGGAAAGGAATAATTGTAATAATCTGAACAATAAAGATTTATTTTTAAAAAATCCATGAAAAAAAAAGTTAAAAATGGAACTGCTATTTGACCCAGAAATACCACTTCTAGGAATATATCCCAAGGAAACAGAAACACCAATCAGAAAGGTGTTCCTATGTTCATAGCAGCACAATTTACAATAGCTAAGATTTGGAAACAGCCTAAATGCCCGCAATGAATACTATACTGCTATAAAAAAGAATTGTTACCATTTGCAGCAGCATGGATGGAACTGGAGAGCATTATGCTAAGGAAATAAGCCAGGCAATGAAAGAAAAGTACCACATGATCTCATTCATTTATGGAAAATAAAGAACATTATAACCTGATGAACAAAAAGATAGATACAGAGGCAGTAAAGCATTAAACAGACTGTCAAATTACAGCAGAAAGACTAGGAATGTTGTGGGAGGGGTAAGAGATTAACTGAAGGACTTGTATGCATGCATATAAGCACAACCAATGAACACAAGACACTGGTGGGTGGGGTAGGGGAGGGCATGTGTGGGGGGAAGCCCAAGGGAAGGTCAATGGAGGATAAAAAGGGACATATGTAATACTATTTGTAATATTTTAAACAATAATAATAATAAAAAGAAACCAACAAAATGAAAAGGGAACCTACTATATGGGAGAACATATTCACCATAATACACCTGATAAGGGGTTAATTTCCAAAATACACAAAGAGTTTATATAACTGAACACTAGGTAGAAAACAATCCAATTAAAAAACTGGCAAAGGTCCTTATTGAAAAACATCTTAATTCTCATTCTTGGAAGTTTTTACTCATTCAATTATACTACAGTTAAAAAAAAAAAATAGGCAAAGGACCTGACTACACACTTCTCTAAGGACATACATGGCCAACAGATATATGAAAAAATGCTCAACATCACTGTTCATCAGAGATATAAATTAAAACTACAATGAGGTATCACCTCACACCTGCCAGAATGGTTACCATCAATAAATCAACCAACAAGTGCTGGTGAGGATGCAGAGACAAGGGAACCCTCATGCACTGTTGGTGGGAATGAAGACTGGTGCAGCCACTGTGGAAAATAATATGGAGTTTCCTCAACAAATTAAGAATGGAACTGCTGCTGAGACCGGTTTGGCTCAGTGGTAGAGCGTCGGTCTGCGGACTGAAAGGTCCCGGGTTCAATTCCGGTCAAGGGCATGTACCTTGGTTGCGGGCACATCCCCAGTAGGGGGTGTGCAAGAGGCAGCTGATCGATAACTCTCTCTCATTGATTTTTCTAACTCTCTATCTCTCTCCCTTCTTCTCTGTACAAAATCATTAAAATATATTAAAAAAAAAAAAGAAAGAAAAAAGAAAAAAAGAATGGAACTGCTGTTTGACCCACTGATCCCATTTCTGGAAACAGGATATCCTAAGATCGATTCCAATAAACACCATTCAGGAAGAATATATGCACCTCTACGTTCACAGCAGCGCTATTTACAATAGCCAAGATCCGGAAACAAGATCTGAAGTCCCCATCAATAGATGAGTGGTACATTTACACAATGGAATACTATGCAGCTGTAGAAAAAGGAACTCTCTTATCCTCTGTGACAGCGTGGACGGACCTGGAGACTTACAGAGTTCAGAGGGGAGGTAAGTGGGGGGACTGGATAAAAGATGAAGTGAGTAATCAGAGAACATATAATATATACAGAGTCCATGGGCACAGACAATAAAGTGGTGAAGGTCAGTGGTGGAGGTGGGCAAAGCGAGGGAAAAATCTGTAATAGTGTCAACAATAAAAAAAAAAAAAAAAAAGGTTTTTAATGGTATCTGAATTTATTAATTTTTTAAAAAGTTAAAACAAAACCACAAAACTTCTCCCAGTTTCAGTTCTTCTTAAACTGGCCAGTTATGCTTTGCAGTGAATACTTGTTAGCTATTTTAGAAGCACCCCATTGCTTTCTTTCTCCTCCTGATTAGATACCAATACTATGCAGGGATTGGTGGTGTGGATTCCTCTGCACTAACATTTAAATTTGTGAAAATAGCTTGTTACCAGTTTTGTTGTGTTGTTCAAGAAGTTTTGGTTTTGCTACCTAGTTGTTCTGTTGGTTTTATGTAGAGATGTAGAAAGATTGAAAAACTATGATGCCCCTCCCCAATATTTTGCCAGAAGCCCCTCAACCTACTCATTTTTGCAAATTAGCCAGCAGATGGGGATCAGAAGTCCCCAAATAATAAGGCCCTGAGACAAGTTCCTAGGGCCTTGAGGGTAGGCAGGTTGTGGATCCATGAATTGGAGGAAACTGACTTTAAGTTTCCATCTGGTAGATTTCAGAAGTGTTGAGGCCACCAAAGCCATAACTGCTGAGTAGAGAGAAGGCAGGCAGATTCTAGAGTTCTAACTCTGGCTCAGTGCCTTCTCTCAGTCCCTTTTTCTGAGCCTCACTTGCCTCAACATAAAAGGACTAGGACTGTGCACCTTGCAAATTTGTTAGCTTCTTTTGTTCATCAACATTTGTGAGCTACATGACACACAGTAGGTGCTCAAAAAATATGAATCCCCCGCTTCTCCCCTGCTCACCCTCAATGTCCATAGTGTCTTCTTGACTATTTCAACCTTAATGCCCAATGACTAGAAGAACAGAAAACTAAATTCCTATGATGCTTCTGTAACACCACTCAGTTCCAGGGGGTCCCAATGACCACCACAAGGCATGTCAACTTGACATCGATAGCAAAGGTGGCAGGTAGGCAGGCTGCTGCTGCTGCTGCTACCTTGCCAGTGCCCTGGTCTTCTCCAACTTAGAGCTTGCGAGGAGAAACCAGGACTACCCCCACAGCAAAGAAGCTCAAAGCTGCTCTACCAAGCGGGTCTGATCAGCAGCCCCTCCCCTGGCCACTGCAAAACAGTGACACTCTTCTTGTCCCCTCTAGAGGTTCTACAAGAGACATAGGCAAGTCAGCAGAGCTACCTTCTGCCTGCAGGCCGGGTCTAGACTTACAGTGTGAGCATTGTTGATCTTCTTCACGTCCCACTGGCCCTCCCCGGTGTAGGTGAGCAGGGAGATGGCTCCATCGGAGCTCCCACAGGCCAGGATGAGGCCGTAGTCATGGGGGGCCCAGCACACAGAATTTACTGTAGGAAGGAGGGAGGCACAGTGAGTAAACTTTCACTTTCCAGATTTACCATTTTACTAAATTTCTAAAAAAAATTACAGGGACCACCAGAGGGAAATTGTAACTTAGTCAATTGAAAAAATTTAAAACCCACCACCTGCTAACATCATTTCCTACATTAACAAAAAGTAGGCTGGATAATTATCTGAGAATAAAGGCCAGTACTTAAAATGAATAAACCTTTAAAAAAAACACACCTGTATTATCTTTGCTTTTCTCATTTTGCTTTGGACTGGCTTTAAGTCTTAGGGCCTTATCTCCCATGTGGACAACCAGCAGAAAAGCCAACCCAAACCCAAGGGATAAACAAGAAGCATCATCACAAGGAAAAGAATCAGAGCACTAGTCAGAACAGAGGCCTCTCTCACACCCAAGGACCACCCACCCCCTCCTGTTACACTCGGTACCTGAGGAGTCGTGTCCCGTGTGCTCGTGCGTCTTCTCCCAGGTGCCGTTTTCCTCTTTCCAGATAATCACTTTCCGGTCATAGGAGCAGGAGGCCAGGATATTGCCATACATGGGGTGGGCCCAGGCCACTTGCCACACTGGTCCTTCATGACTGCAGGGGAGAAGGTGACAGATTGCTCAGATAGGCCACAGGAACCCACAGGGCTGCAGCCCCTTCTGTGGACAGAACTGCCTAAGAATTTCAAAAGGAGACAGAGAATGTCACTGCCAAAGGGAACTTCATTGAGCAGTGATGACTTTGAGGCCCAGAGACCAGAGAGGCTTTTTTTTTTTTTGTCATTAATCTTTACTTGAGGATATTTTCCCATTGATTTTTAGAAAGAGTAGAAAGGAGAGGAGAGACAGAGAGATATCAATGTGAGAGAGACACATTGATTGGTTGCTTCTGCATACACTCCCTAACCAGGGTCAGAGATTGAGCCTGCAATCAAGGAACGTGCCCTTGACTAGAACTGAACCCAGGACCCTTCAGTCCATGGGCCCAGGTTCCATCCACTGAGCCAAACAGGATAGGACTAGAGAGGAGCCAAAAATGAGACAGGACTCTAGTTAGTCTCTCAGTCCTGACCCAGCAGAATCCTCACTTGCTCCTATACCTATTGTCATCAGCAGAGTCACTGATCAATCTAGGTTTTGCACCCACAAGCACTAAGTGTCTGTAAAGTGAGTCATTTATCCTTCCAAATGGTCAACTTCTTGAGGCAGCAGTATCTGTTTTGTTTTGGTATTTTCTGCTACCCTTTAAAAAAAATTTGCTCAAAAGGCATGTCTCTTATATTCTGATTTTTGTATGTTCATATGTTAAGTATCATCTGAGCATGTACCCTGTGCCAGGCTTGGTGCCAGGGCCATCTCTGGGTTCAGGGAGAGGTGGGCATCCAGCACATGAGAGATAGCTCTGCTTACAGCAAGCGTGTCAAATTATGCAGCCCACAACCAATATTTTTGCGGTCCAGACAATATAATGGTATGTAAGAAACGTTTTAATAAAAATGTAGTAACTAATTTTTACAATATCCTGTTATACATAATTATTAATAACAAACTACAACGTTCATTAACCCATAGCTGAACTGGCGCAAAAGGACAGCCTAAAAATTTTAACAGTGTGCTGGCTGCTTAGACCCAAGGGAAAAAAAGACAGCCTAGGTGCCTGTCAGCAGATGATTGGATCAGAAAACTATGGTATATCTACACAATGGAATAGTATGCTGCCATAAAAAATAATTATCGTTTGCAGCAACCTGGATGGAATTGGAGATCATTATGCTGAATGAAATAAGCCAGTCAATGAAAGAAAAATACCACATGATCTCACTCATTTATGGATAATAAAGAACATTATAAACTGATGAACAGAAAGATACAGAGACAGTAAAGCAACAGACTGTCAAATTACAGCAGGAAGGGTAGGGATATGGGTGAGATAAGAGATCAACCGAAGGATTTATATGCATGCATATAAGCATAACCAATGGACGCAAAACTCTGGGGTGTGAGGGCATGTATGGGAGTGGGAGGGAGGGCAATGATAAGATATATACACATACAATACCTTAATAAAAGAAAAGAAAAGAAAAAAAAAGATCAGATATATAGAGCTAGGATTAGACAAGAAACACAATTACATTGAAATACAGTTATGAAAATGTTAAAGAACAAATTATGATACAATGACATGTGTACAGGTCTAGCAAACACTATGTTTGAGATAGTTACAACTATAATGTAATATGAAAATATCTGACTTGCATTGGTAACATAGGTACTGTAAATACTCCTGTGACTTCCAGCCTACATCCATCATGGAAGGAAATGCTAAACATCAGTCACTGAAAAGAAAGATGATGATTCCTCCTGCCCCAGTTCACCGACCCCTGAATTCTATCCACGGAACCCTTGGAGATCCATAGGATCCAGGTTAAAAAACCCCACTTATTTGAAAGGCAGTGAACGAAGTGAAAGCAATAGTGATGTAGCCATAAAAATGACAGCCAGGATCTCAAGAATCTCAGTGGGGAGAAAGGGCAAACATTTGAAAATATAAACTAACTAGAGGCCACATGCACAAAATTCATGCACAGGGGAGGGAGGGGTTGTCTCTCAGCCCAGCCTGCACCCTCTCCAACCCAGGACCCCTTGGGGGACATCCCTCTTGCAATCTGGGTCTGCTGGCTCCTAACCACTGGCCTGCCTACTCACCCCTAACCACTGTGCCTGCGGGTTGCTCTGCTCTGGCTCTTGGGCTTTCCTGCCCTCCCTGGAAAGCCCAATCATTGTCAGTCCTTGCCCATGGTAGGCCGGTTGGCTGCACTCACCCCCTGAGGTCTGCGATGAGGATCTGCCCGCCGTTGCGTACATCAAAGATTTTGACGGACCTGTCTGATGAGCAGGTTGCGAGGCGGGTGCCATAGTAGTCCATCTGGGCATCATGCTGCAAAGGGAGGACAGCTCAGGACACCTGCAGGCTGGGTGGGGGCCAGTCACCAGGACAGAGAACCTAATTTGGACCAGAATCTATCCGAGAGTAATCTAACCACTATCGGGCAGGAAGATAGCATGCCAACCATCTCATTTCTCTGACATGCAGTATCTTTCTTAATGGGACAAGACAAACTATGCCCAGCTACTTGTAGACCCTTTATACACATGGGGAGCCCTTCCTCATCCTGTTCTGCAGGTTGGGTATGGGAGAAAAAAGGCTGGCCTAGCCTCCTTCTTCCTCAGCCCCTACCGTGTTTTGAGGCTGTGAACACCTGGAGTTCAACTCAGCCCAGAACCAAGAGCTAATGCTGACCCAAAGGAGCAGGCCTTTGGCTGCCTGTAGACCCATCAGGAACTCCATGATGCACATCTGGCCTAGACACAGGGTTCTGTTCAGACACTGAGCTCCTTCCTCCATCCATGGCCCTGGATCCATTGTGGACATTTGTTCCTGGGTTTCTGTTTGGCCTTTGTTTTTTTTTTCTTCCCCCTAGTAGTGTGCCTAGCACCCCAGACTGTCCACATACGCCTTAAATGTCACTCGTTCAACCACTGATAAATGGACTTCCAAGATGTTGACTGGCTATCCAGAACCTCTGCCCAGAACTACTTGTCCACCTCGGGCAATGACTCCTCTGAGTCACTACGCCTGCTGCCCCACTGTTTGCTGGCCCTTCCTATTCCAACAGATGGCACTTTCTTCAGCTAGCCCACCTTATGGATTTCAAGAACTATCCGCTGCCACTCTTGTGGTCATCGGGAACAATTATACCCTTTCAACAGAAGCAATCAGTCCATGTGCTTCAACATTCTCTCCTTGCCTCCCTACTTGCAGAAAACTTCCTGATTCTTCTTTGGAAGTCAATCCTCTCTACTAGTCCTGATCTTGACTTCTTGGAAGGCAGTGCAGGTGTTAAGACAGATCTTCTCTGTAAATGTACTTCTGAAGCACTTCTCCTGTAAAGTGCTATCACACACGTTGGGAGAAAGTAGAGCGAAGTACATAAAAGATTTAAATCCTATCTCTTCAGCTTATCCTTTGTACGACTTTGGGAAAATTACCTAATCTCCTTGAACCTCAGTTTCCTTATCTTTAAATGGGGCTACTTAAAGGGTTCTTATGAAAGTATTTAGCATGGGATCTGACACTTAGTAAGCATGCAGACATTAGTCATTACTATTTTGCCTTATCTGTTCCTCAAATCGAACCCACACAAGCAGGTATTACATTCATTATTTTTCCCATTTTAACCATCAGGAAATCAAGGCTGGCTCAGAAGAGTTGAGAATGGTTAAGGAATCTCAGAGTGGATCTTCTTCCTGATGGTGCGACACTATCTCCAAGGAGGGGTGGTCTTGGAGCTAGACCACAGAGAACACAGACACTCTGAGAAGGACCAAAGGAACCACTGGTGGGCAGGAACCATGGGAGGAAATGCTATCAGCTGACCTGGGTCTTGCTCAAAGGCTATCTGGACTGCTTAACCCTGCATGAAGCAGAGTCTGCATCTTTGCTGTGGAAGACTTTAACCTCTGAACTGTCCCCCTAGCCCTGTTGTCTTATACTGAGCCTTGTGTTTATCTCAGGAAACACCCTGAGTTAATGACTTCTGGCCCAAAGGTCCTTGTCTGGCAGCTCTGTCGGTGGTGATTCTACCTGGCTCTGCCTTGGGCTTTTGCCCCCTGCCTTCATATTGAGCCATCTTCCTCTCTCTTTTCTTTTAACCCCTTTTCAATGGGGCTAAGAAGTGACAGCAGGAGAAAGACAGGTGGGAAGACTGTTGTCAGTCTCTGTATCTATTCAGTCTACATCCCAGACCTGGTTACTTTGTTGGTCAGAAGACTGAAGGCCTTGAGTTACAATCCAGTCCCAGGTTCCTCCCACCAGAATGACCAGACTGCCACAGCCCTGCTAATTGAGAGGGCATTGCTGGGAGACTGACTCTACCCCTGAGGCTACAGTCTGACTGGCAAAGGCTGCAAAGCCACACTGGATTCATGAATGCTTCCTCCCACAGAAATGCCCAGACCCACAGCCCGTGAGGGAGGGCTGAAAGAATACTTACAATCATGTCCTCGTGGGAGGTGTCCACCGTGTTAATTACTGACACCTAGAACCAGAGATATCATTGGTAAATGAACTGGCGGCACTTAGAATGCAATCATCTCATTAAACCCACCAATCATTTCTAAAGTTAACTGCAACTGTTCATTCATTCACTCATTCAGTAAACATTCAATCCAGTACCTTCTTTTTGCCTAGCACTATGCCAGGAACTGGAGATACAGATACAAATCAGAGGTACTTCTTGCCCCTGACAAGCTTGCACACAAGTAATCATAACACAGCAAGATACATACTTTAGAAGTGGTTTACATGTGCTGTAGCACCCGAAGGGCTGGGGGTGCTGGATACAAATTGGGACTTAGATGATAAGGAACTTGCCAGGTGGCACAGAAAATCAAAGTACAGTGCAAACAGAGGGCATAACATGAGCAAAGAGGGGAGATGCAAATAGTCCTGGCTATCTTTGACAGGGAAGAGAGACCCTGAGGGAGTAATGAGCAGCTTGTAGGTCTGGAACACAGCTGCCAGTCATCACCCTTCTACCGATTCTTCGAGGTCCAGATCAAATTATGCCCGCCTTCTCGGAGATTCTCAGATCCCCCTGGCTGTACTCCTCTGAATATCTTCAGCACTAAAAAGCCTACAACACTTAATGCTGTTTCTTCTCCCAACTAAAGGGATGTTACCTGGAGCTGGGGTCTGAGTTGTCTGCAGTTTTGAATCCTCTCAAGTCACCCAGCAAAGTACTTTGTAACCAGAAGGAACTCAGTGACTATTTGCTGAATGAATAAGTAAATGAACAAAAACAAATAGCTTTACTCTGCTCAACCACTACTCTCCTAAAATTCATGAGATAGAAAATGACTGAAAAGATTTCAGTTTGGAACTGATATTTCTTAGCATTTCCCCCATTTCATCTTTTCCCAGCACAAACCCTGCAAGCATAAAATCTGGGTTGACTTTTCAGAAAGGTGGACACTGCAAGAGGATGACTGCAGAGCAGTTTAAAAGGTACCACTAGCCGAAACCAGTTTGGCTCAGTGGTAGAGAGTCGGTCTGAGGACTGAAAGGTCCCAGGTTCGATTCCGGTCAAGGGCATGTACCTGGGTTGCAGGCACATCACCAGTGGGGGGTGTGCAGGAGGCAACTGGTCAATGTTTCTCTCTCATGGACGTTTCTAGCTCTCTATCTCTCTCCCTTCCTCTCTGTGAAAAATCAATAAAGTATATTTAAAAAAATAAATAAATAAAAGGTACCACTAAGTAAGCACGGGCTTCCTCATCAAATTCAAATTCTAGACTCCCTAAAAAGTGGGCCCCAGGTCCGAAAAGACAAGCAAGATAAGAGAAAAATCTTTGTGGGCCAAGCTAGCCAGGTCACCCACTGCTTTCACATGTGCCCTGGGGAGGAGGAAAGGCACAGTGAATTAGAATTGTCTGACAACTAAGGAACTGAAGAAACCCAGAGGAGAGAACTTACTAAAGTGACAGAGCTAGTTAAAAGTGGAGCTGGGAAAAGAGCTCCACCTGCTAACTCCCAGCCCAAAAGCATCAACCCATTAGGCTGCCTGTCTAGAACATAAAGTAGTTGTTACCCTAAATTCCCTAAATTAATGCCTGAGGGCTAAGTAAAGCCAGGAAGTAAGTTTACTAGTAGTTTCATACCAGGTCACCAAAGACTATTTAGAGATAACCAGCATTTATTTTTATTTGCTAATCTGCATCCCAGAATATTTTTTTCTATTGATTTTTTAGAGAGTGGAAGGGAAGAGGAGGGGGAAGAGGAGATAGTGGAGAGGGGAGAGGGGAAAAGAGAGAGGGGGAAGAGACCCCACTCCAACTGGGGCTGAAGATCCAACCTGCAACCCTGATTCTTGTCCTTGTCTGGGATCGAACCCACAACCCTTTGGTGTGTGAGTTAATGACACTGGCTAGGGCTAGACTCTCACCTCCAGCCAGAATTGGACAACCAAATGCTTTGGAGCAGCGGTCGCCAACTGGTGGTCCGTGAGGTCCGAAAGGTTGGTGACGGCTGCTTTGGAGAACCTACAGTGTTTGGGCCCTTGTTAAGTAGAAAGTGCCAGCTCTCAAAACATGTCAGCTCTTCAGAACCAGTGCGTTAAAAAGTTAATTAGAAAGAACTGTCAGAGCACAAGCACTGCCAATTCTCAGCTGAAGAATCAGAGGCTCAGAGGAGCAATTGAAACCTGGCCCCCATGCAGAGCAAAAATTAGACCCAAAGTCCTGACATCTGGGCTCACCCAGGTTTCCTAAAACCTCCCGGCACACGCGTGTTCCGGGGGGTTACTGAACCCCCACGCTGTGCCAGGCTCAGGTCAGATGGTTTTACCCCTGAGTTCCCATTCAGCCATTGGCTCAGCGAGGAAGTGTGGAGTGAATGTACGATTCCACAGATTTGAAACACCGAGGCCCTGCCCTCAAGACTTAGCTCATCTTCAAGTGCCCATTGTACTGGGGGCCCTGCCCCTCAGCCCCGTTCCACACACATCACTGAGGAATGGCGAGGAGGGCTAGGACCCCAGCTCTGCCACCTCCCCGCCCCGAGTCAATGTCGGTAACAGCACCTGCTTGACTGTTCGGACTGTTAGAAGGCTGAGATTAGGAACAATGCCTGGCGTTTACTAATGGTACAGTAGTTCCTACAATGTTCCTGGTTTTGTTTTCCATCGTTGGGGAAAGAGAAGGAAAGGGAAAGAGCGAAAGGCGCGGCCGGCAGAGTTCCGGGCCGCTCCGCGCGAAAGGTGCCGAGCGGCAGGGCCAGGGACCCCGCCCTCTAAGCGGTGGAAGGGAGCTGAACGGCCCGGGCCTGAGACTTGAACCTCAGCGCGGTCGGCGGGGGACGGTCAGACCAGGCGGGAACCCCGGTCGGCGTCCCGGGCCACAACACTCACCATGGCTGCAGCGGCGGCGGCTCCCAGCCTCGGACGTGGCAGCTCCCGGCGGCGCCTCCAACAGCTCACTTCCGGCGCCGGGCTGGCCGGCCGGGCTGTAGCGCAGGAGCCTCCGGGTGGCAACGCGCTCCGCTAGCACAAGGGTTCCGCGCTGCAGCGTCGCACGCTCCTCTGGGCCCCTCCCCTTTCCCTGAGGAACGCGCGAGACCTACAGTGAGCCTCTGGTTTCCAAGGCTTTAGGTGTCTGAAACTCTAGCCGGTCATCTCTCCTGGCCAACCCTGCCCCCCGAGATCCTTACGTAATAGTAGAGATTCCTAACTACAGCTTCACCTGTTTACCTGGGATTCTGGGTGCGACGGGCCTTAGGATGAGCAAGGAAGGATGACCAATTTTGGGGGGCGTGGGTAGACTGGTCCTAGTGCTTCCTTGTTGTTAGTCTCTCCTCAGGACCCGAGGCTGGGACCAGGGGCAGAGAAGGCTAGGGGAATAACCCCCTACTGGAGGCTGAGTCCTCTCGCCCTGCCTTTTCCAAGCCATGGGATCCCTGGCTCTAAACTGCCTCTTCCCACAGTTCTGGGACCTGGTGAGTCAGGCCCATCAAGTAGATGTCTCCTCAGGCAAAGGCGAATCTCAGCCAAGCTTCTGCACGTAGAGTTCAGGATCCACCCTCCAGTGTTCCCAATCCTTAGGTCCCTGGCTTCCCACAAACACATTGAGTATGCTGCACTCTGGACAGAGCCTGGGACTCCCCTCATGTCTGGCAGCTCTGAGCCCCTCTTTACAAGGAGTGCAGTGACTTGGGTGGAGCCTAAGCTCCCCTTGGGTAAGTCACATTTCCTCAGTTCCCTCTTCTGTAAAGAGGGGGTGAGGGGGAAAGAACCCTAGCTGGGGATGGTCACTACTGGAGGGAAGATGTTAAGTCTCAGAAAGTGTGATAGATCCAGACCATTAAGGAGCTTTGGAGAAGCCTAGGGGAGTGGGTCTTACAGAATTCAGGGCTGGGCCTCTGGGCAGCAAACCCACCTTCTCACCTCCACCCCAGCTTTCAAGACTCCTTATTTCCCTCTAATAAAGACATGTTGCAAGGGTGTGTGGGTGGGGGTAGTGCTTAGAGTGGAGCAGGGAATAAAGGGGGCAGAGCTCTTGGGTTTTCTGTTTTTTTTTTCAAAGGATAGGCCCTCGCTGGCCTTGGGTCTGTATTTGCATCACTGACCACCTGGGTGATAAAGTCATCTCCTTGCCTGGCCTACATGGCTTGGTGGTTGAGCATTTACCTATGAACCAGGAGGTCATGGTTTGATTCCCAGACAGGCTCAACCCCTAGTAAGTGGAATGCAGGAGGCAGCCAGTCAATGTGTTTCATATTAATGTTTCTATCTCTCCCTTTCACTTCCTCTCTGAAATCAATAAAAAATATATATAAAAAGTAAAGTTGTATCTTTCTCTCTGAGCCTCACTTTTCTTGAGTGGAAAATGGGAGCAATGGTATAATACAAACATATGGGCATAGTTGTTATTAGACAAGTTGGTGTTATTAGAAGAATTCCTTGGTGTAGGCATTGAAGTTGGAGAGATTGGGGATTTGGGACAAGCAATGCAACTATCTTATTCATTAAGGTATTTGCTGGTGGGACTGAATAGCATTATAATTTAGAGCTTTTGAGTGCCAATTCTGGCATAAAAACTGCTAGCTATCAGTACTTTACCTCCTAATTACTTGGTGGGCACACCCTCTACTTCCCTGAGCTGCTGTCTCCTGTTAAGTGGGTGTTACAATAATACCTCCTCTGAAAGTTGATGTTGGGATTAAATGGATCCTGGATATGAAACTGTTTGGAAGTTGGATGGGCCGATGGTGCTTGATCTGGGGATCAATTCTCCCTGAAAAGAGCTGGGATTTAGTGTGTGTGTGTGTGTGTGTGTGTGTGTGTGTGTGTGTGTGCAACCTTCAACCTTTGGACTAACATTGAGGTTTAGGGTGCCAGGCCCCCTTCTGTCAACCTCCCCAGTAGGGGCTGCCACTTACATCTTTTGTCCATATCTTCAATCACCTTGCTCTGGTTAGTACAGACCCCAAATCAGGCCATTCTTAGCTTTCCCAATTTGTGCCCCTACCTCCCAGAGTCTCTGCTCCTTGAATTTATTCTTCCTCTTCCTCCTCCCTTAGACCTCTTCCCCACAAGTCTTGTCTGACACTGTTAGCTGCCCCCCATGGAAGGTTAATGATCATGGCAGGCTAAACTTGTATCCCTCAAATGGTAGATGCTGGAAAAGTGTGATTTGCTGGAAGGAGAGAGACTGCCCACTGAGCTATACATCCTGGGGCAAAGTGCCTTTCCCTCAGTTTCCCCCTAAGTTCCGATCCACGAGGTTGGGGACCCAGTTGTCCTTTGGAAAAAGGCCTTGTGATGTGTACGGTGTCAGTGTTTCCACGTGTGCATTTATTGTTATTGCTCAGTATAGTGTTGAAAAGGCAGACAAATCCCATTGATTACAAAAAAAGCACAAGCCAGAGATACAGAGAAATAAAGAGTGTACAATAAGAGCACAGTCACTTCCCAGCCCCGATTGTCCCAGTACCCCCCGCAGAGCCTGGGCAGCTTGTGGAAGCTGGAGGCGGCACCATTTCCTCACTACTCTGTTATAAAATATGTGCACACAAGAGTTAGCAAAGTGTGGCGGCCCCCGAGAGGAAAGGTTCGGAGGGAAAGCACCACAGGCATTACAAAACAGACTTAGGGGCTGAGAAGGGCAGTCGCAGCCTCAGATATCTTATTTTCAGTGGAGGGGTGATGGCTGATACCCAGGGCCAAGGATCCCCTTCTCCCCATTTGGGGCAAATAGGATCTCTACATCAAAATCAGCAGAGCTTGCTTTGGAAGTTGGGAAGGACCTAGGGATTTCTGCTGTTGTCTGAGTTAGGTCTCGGCTCTCAAAGTCCCAAAAGCCTTCAAGAACTGAGCCTCTCCCTCCCCTGCCTGGATCTTCTAATGGTGGGGTCTTGGACACTATGGAGAGAGTTTTGGATGGGAGGCATGTCACAGTGAGCCCAGCGGACAGCCTCCTGTAAGTAGGATAACAGTGGGGGTGGTGGGAGTGGGGGGTCAGGGTTGTGAGAAGGTCCAGACAAGAAATGGCTGCATCCCAAAGGAAGTATCACACAACCACTAGAAACTTTGGATAAAGAGAAAAAAAGCAGTTCAGGAAAGGGAGGCAGGAATAAACATTTCTCCAGGAGGAGAATTAGACATACAGACAACTGGGCCACCCATTCTCGTAGCTCCATATCTGGGAGAAACCCCTCTTTCTTGTCCGGACCAGGGCAGATAAAAGGCCCACCCTAGTACAATAAGTGGGTGACTTTGGATCCCAAACTGGGATGGGGGGCAGACTTAATGCCCCTACTTCCTATTGGTGGCCTTTCCTACTAACACCCTGGTCTAGGGAACAAGTGGGAGTATGAGATGAATGTTGGGCTTCCCTCAAAATTCAGGATGCCCCTTTTGCTTCTCCTTACAGAACACTCTTTAGGGACCCCAAGTGGACAGTACTTACAATGGCAGAAAGATGTTTACACACAGAATGGCAGGGCCCAGTGTATTTGAGGTGGGTAGAGGATGTGCAAAATTTTAGTTTACTGGGAAGAACAGATGTGAGAGAATAATTAGGAAATTTTGTTAAAAAAAAAAAAAAGAGTGAAGAGTACTTATCCTACCACATGATAAAACTTTATAACATATCCTACCATATAATAACACATTCTATATAGCAACAATAATTAAAATTATGTGGCTGGTGCCAGATGAGACACCCAAAAAGGGAATAAAAGGTAAATCCCAGAAATAGACCCACCTCTATCTCAGCTATCAGTGTATGGTAAAGATGACATTTCAACATGGTTGGGGGAAAGAGTGGCTATTCACTAACTGGGATACCCAAGATAGGACAGGTCCAGAGTCCTTGCATCAATGCAGTCATTGTCATTGGTCTGGTCTCAGAAGGAGGACAACCTTCCTCTTGCCAACTCCATGCTCTGGTTGGGACAAGTGGCCCAGGGGCCACAGTGAAGGGAGCAATCAAGGCTGCTTCTGATTTAGGGAAAGTGCTGCCTGAATTGTGTAAGGAAACCCCGAGGTTTCCTCCCTGCTCACCTCCAAAGGTGAGTGACTCCACAGCCCCAGGGGTCATTGAATGGGCCCTCAGCTCCTCCCATAGCTGTAGGGGAAGACAAGTTGGTGAGCTTAGACCTAGAACTGAGTCTCCTCCTGGAGCCCTTGTCCAGAGGACAGAAAGGAAGCTAAGTGCAGTTATAGAAAGAAGTATTAGTTACAGGATATATATTTACTATATTTTGTTTGATTCTTTTTTTTTCTTTTTTTCTTTTTTTTTTTCTTTAAACCACAGACATTTCAGAACCACAGTGCGGGAGTAAGAAGAGTCAGCAATTGAAAGCATTGCATAGTATTAAATGAACAGAGACGGTGAGTTCTTTATTTACAATTATTGTCTAGATAAAAAAATTCATAAAAACAGATGAATGGTCATAAATTATTTACCCCCTAATGGGGTGAACTGCCAAACGTACCCCATGCTGCTAGATATAGGACACAGAGTGCAAGCTTTATGTACTACAGTGAGTTTTGACAAACCCAATCATTTCCTGTGTGTGTGGATGTGTGTGCGAGTTTCAGAGGGAGGGTGTGTGCATGTGTGTGTGTGTGTGTGTGTGTGTGTGTGTGTGTGCGCGCGTGAGCATCCATCATTCCTGACAAGGAAGGACTAACCCTAATGCGGGGCATTCTCAGTAGCTTCCATGGCTCCCTGTTCCCTCAGCTAGGACCCACTCAGAACCCCCCCCCCCGCTTCCCTTGTGTCCTGGCCCCAAATAAATAGGGAGCGTGGTGTGCCAGGGCAGCCTTCCCAGGGCCATGGAATGAGGTCAGGGCACAGGATTGGAACAAAGAAGGGGGAAGATGGAAAACCTTGAGAAAGAAACTACAATCCCTATGTTCCAAGGCTGCCCAACATTTTCCTTGTGCAGGTCTTTCCTCTCTGTAGGCAGGAGAGCAGCGGGCTGGCTTTTGGTGGTGTTAGTATTGGAATCCAATAAGCCTATCTGAGGGCTGGTCGCCCCTTTAGGGGTGCAGTTTCCTCTGCTGGGTACACTCAGAGACATTTCTTCACGACATTCAGGCAATGCTCTTGTGCAAAGACGGTCCTCCTTCCAGGAAGATTGTGCCAGGTGGGATGGGCTGACTTGGGGTCCCAAACCCTCAGGTTTCTCCAGATGTAGGCCCTCCCAGCTGACTATGGCTCTTTTCCCGAGTGGCTCTCATCTTGTGTGTGGAAGAATTCTCTGGGCCTGGAGAAGGGGTGGGGGCTGGGCTGATGCAGAGCAACTGTGGGCAGGGTCATTGTGAGGAGTGGATTTCACAAGCGAGGCGGAAAGTGTTTGGTTTTCCTTGAAGCATGGGACGTCATCGATCATGGTATTCAAAATGTCTTTTGCACTGTACAAGTTTATGGAAAAAGGTCGTATGCTGAAAAGTCTCAAAGCAAACTTTGTATTAAATACAAAAGTTCTTTTATGAAAAAAGCTGATACCCACAAAGTGCTTAGCAGTTAAGAGGCTGACATACAATTAAATAAGCTCTTATTAAGTGGTATTACTAGTGCTGTAATTGTCTCGAGGGAAAAATAACCTCCTCTTCTCACCTGCGATACTGTAGGGTTTCAGAATGGCTTTCTGTCGGGAAAGCGACTTGCTGTTAAAAGGCTACAGTATATATTGCGACTATAGGAAGACAATTTGGTTTAAAAATCACACTGAATACATCTCGATATACACATCATAAGGTTTGTTCGGATCTAAATAGTGCAGAGAAAAAGGCTATTCTTCTTCAAAAATAAAAATAAAAGCAGCAAGCCATAACGATCCTCATCCAATTACACCAACAGCTCAAATGCTGCAATTAATAAGGAAACAAACATCTAAATTACTAACAAAAAAATCAACACAATAGCATTTATAATATTGCAACACTACCTCAATCTCTCTATCCAGACAGCGCCAAAGAGAACCTCTTCTCGAAATGCTCTTTGTAAACCCAGGTGAGTTTCACTGAGAGAAAAGTCTTCAGCAAATGCTTTGTTCCATCCTCCTTGGGCCCGAGGACCCTTAGCGCGCCAGGAAGCCTTCTCTCTCCTCTCCCTTTGTCTACGGAGCATGGTGTTAAAGCCCTCAGCATGGGATCTCGGTAACTTTTGGCTTCTGCCTGAGTCTCCTGTGGTAGTGACATTGTTGAACGGAAATAGCAGGCAAACTTCAGAGCATGGCTATTGTAAAACATCAAGGATACAATCCAGGGAAGTGTCTGTTGGGCTGAGCTGTTTTTTTTTTTTTTTTTTTTAATAGCATCTCAGCCACCAGTGTTCTTAACCATACAAATAGCCAAAGACACTATCTACAGGTTTGTAAACAAATTACATTCTTCTTTTAGGACATAAATAAGTTAAAATAGAGCAATTTAAGCAGAAACAAGGCAACATGCCGGCAAAGAAACTTTATATATCCATGTATATATATTTATATATATATTTTTTTTTCCCTACCTATCTATATGGACGTATACAGTCTTGAGTAAGTATACGTTGATATAGATATAAAGAAATGGATATAACCTTGTGAGTGTCTATGAAGTTCTTCGGTTCCATTGGTGCAAATCTACTAGGCGAGTTAAGCTCTGCAATGTCAAAAAGTTGTTAAATTAACCTATACAACTGAGACCATGCTTTGCAAGCATTTCAAAAATTCACAGACCAGGGGGTTGGATAAATAGTCTCAGAAAATAGTCTGTTTGCAGTTCCCGCCTAAGAAAACAAACAAAAACCTTCCCCAGCCCCCCAAACCAAACAAGCGGAGGACTGGAAGTGTACAGTACATTCATGCAGGGGACATGGCGGCTGGGCGGGCGCATGGCTGGTCCATGTGTGGGCAGGAGCCAGGAAGGGCTTGTTCTGGGAGGATCGCTCACGCCCTTAAGCCCGAGGAGATCCCGCCCCTTGCCTCAAAGTGAAAAAGAGTTCAAACAGCATCACAGCCAGAAAGAGGGTCTGTTGGGTGGAAACGTTGGTTTTCTCGCCATTATTTGGTTTCCTGTTGTTGCTCCGTTGCTGCTTGAGTGAGTTGGGTGCCTGGATGAGTGGGTGCCGGGGAGGTGGGTGGTGGCGGGGTCCTCAGCTAAAGCGACGTCTCCAGGCTGTGGATGGGGCTCCCTGGACTTGAAGAGGTAGCTGATTTGCTTGTGTCGGTCGTCAGGTTGATCCCGCTGTCGATGGCGCTGTTGTTCTTATTGAGCGATGACGGCGGGCTCGAGTTCTGCTTGAGCGCGGCATCTTCTTCCAGGTCGGTGTCATCGATGAGGGGGATGTGGGGCTGTGAATCTTCAATCCGGAATTCAGGATGAGCCATGAAATTATGGATGGAGGTTCGAGACTCAGGCTTTTCTAGACCTTCATAGAGAGAGCTACGGAACGCCTTCACGACGCGGATCTGCAAGGGAAGCGCAGGGGTGAGAAGCAGTGCCCTAGGGTGTGTGTGTGTGCTCTGGGGGCTTGGGGAAGGGGCAGGTGGGAGAGGGATTAGGGCACAGCAAGTGGGTGGAATCCATAGTCTCGGGGTGTTATGAGCATGGACAGGAGAAGGAAGAGTGGAAGAGAGGCTCAGGTTATATGCATCCATGAGGTTTTTAAATATTGCTTTGGTTTTGGTCAAAACGACAATATTAGGACAGGAGGAATCAAGGCCCATCAAAGAGATGATGGGAAACTGGTCAGAGGAAGCACTCTGGTGGGCACCCAGACCTAGGGAGAGACTGAGCCTTGTTAACTTTAAAGCGGGTTCGACCATGCAGAAGGGTAACGGGGCCAGGTGGGAACAGAATAGGAAGGAGGAGAGGCTATTTTTTAAAAAAAAGTATTCTTAAAAAACAAAACAAAACAAAACAAAACACCCCACACACAGTTAAGAAACCATACCACATGGAACAGATAACATGTCATGAACAGAAAAGGAACAGAAAGGAGAGACAGATGGATAAACCGGGATGAGAGAAGACACACGAGGGCCAAACAGAGAACTGGAACGTCAAAACGAAGGCAGCAAAGCAAACCAAAGCCAACTCAGAGCTTTCTGGGGTGCAGAGCAGAGGCAGCCAGAAAGCACAAAGGAGCCGGCGGACGGGTGACATTCGGGAGGGGAGCATGCCACGGTGGGGGTCAGGGACCACACGGCACACACAGACAGACACACACTACACTTGGAAGCCTGGACAATGTGAACGGAGGTCGTTTTGTACCCAACGTTTCTTTCCTTCATGCATTTGGGAGGTAAACACTCGAGTATTGACTCAAAGCCCTGGCCAGCCATTGTAGTGGGCTTTGGGGTTCCTTATTTTGATATTTTTATTTGTGCCTTGAAAACACAAAACCAAAAAAACGAGGCCAGAATCAGACGGTCAAGCCCTGCCCTGGGTGAGTTTTTAGGGGGTGTGGAACTGAACTCAAAATAGCAAGTTGGAACCTGGGTTCTCTGAAGAATGGAAGGAGGTGGGGCCTTGCATCCGCTGGGCTAGTGGGAAAAACAGTGGACCTGAAGCCTGAGTCCTAGCTCTGTCACTTCCGGTGCTCGACAGTGGGTGAGCCACACTCCCTCCCTGGCCATCCTCTGTCCTTGCAGGGTGCAGAGAACAGGACCTCACTTAGAAGAGAGGGGTCCCTCCTCTGGACACCTGGGAGGGGAGCCCTGACTGTTATCTCAAGAGACTGACGGGATTTGGGACAAAGGTTCTTCCCTCTCTTTTCCCAGCCCACCTCCCAGGGGAGCAGCAGCAAGGGGAGTGCAGTGGGGGCAGCACATCAGTGCCTCCAAGGAGCAGAGCCTCAGCCGAAGTGGCTGTGGTCCTGAAGGCACCCTGCATGGCTGGGTGGCTGCTCCCACACCATAGGCCTCTGGGGGACAGAGGACGGGAGGAGTAAACCCAGGGGCAGCTCGCTGGGGGGCAAGGTGGGGAAAGCCTGTCCATGGAAATGAATTTTCTTGATGACTGTGGCTGATGGTTTTCAAGTGTCACAGCTCAGGCTTTATTTTACCTTTCCATAGGGGAGTCTTCCTAGAGCACATCATATGCTCCTCTGACTTTTCATTTAGAGTACACAGAGAAGAAGTGGGCTTTGCCAAGAATCTTTTGGTCTTGTGTAAGAACCTACAGTTATTATTATTATTTTTTTTAAAGTTCTAGAAATGAAAGAAAAATCAACAAAATAAGAAAAGGAAAAAAAAAAGTTCTTCTTGGCCTGGCTGGAGTGGCTCCGTGGTTGAGCGTCGACCTATGAGCCAGGAGGTCATGATTTGATTCCTGGTCAGGGCACATGTCCAAGTTGCAGGCTCGATTCTCAGTGTGGGGCATGCAGGAGGCAGCTAATCAATTATTTGCTCTCATTATTGATGTTTTCATCTCTCTCCCCCTCTCTTCCTCTCTGAAATCAATAAAAGTATATATTTTAAAAAAAGTTCTTTGATGTTAGCCATCACTTACTAGTTCTGATTTTCCCTTGTCTTCTCAAAAGCGTCTCTGTCCCCCTTCTTTTTATGTGTTATTGGCTGGGGACTCCAAAGAGCCCTGTCCACTGCTTTAAATAGGAGGCTTCAGGTGTCGAGTGAGGGCCAGCCAGATGTGGTGCAGTAGTGCTGGCGCTCCGTGATGGCTATTTGGCTGCCCTGAGATTTCTTTCTCCTTGGACTCCATATCTGTGGCTCTGTAGAGATTATTAATATTCTGATGTCCTTATAAGTAGTGGGCCACTACACCATTGATTAAGTGCAAACAACAAAAAAGGTGTTGCAGGCCTCAGTTTTCTGATCTGTGAAATGGGAATACTTATTATCGTAGTAGCTGCCCAGCCTAGTGCCCAGAATGTTCTGAGGTTCTGAATTGTAATAAGATTCCAGCCAGAGCCCCTAGTGGAGGAGGAGGGATGGTTGCAGGACCCTGTCATGTGACTGACAACGCAGAGGAGAACACACAATGAGATGCAGGTCCCTCGCCCTCCCCCTGGCATGGAGACAACAGAAAGAATGAACTGCTCTGGACAAGACTGTGGGGACAAGACTTTTTGGGACACCCCGCCACGGCCATCTCAAGTCTCCACTTCGGTTCTCTCCACGGCTGAAATGGAAAAAAATATGGGAAGAAAAAAAGCTCTTCCATCTCCCCTTCCTGCTTACCCTGAAGATGGGGTTTTGTGGTATGAGCTGCAAGGGGCGTGGGGGGAGAGGAGAGGTTTCAGGCACTTTGGTTTCATCAGCACAAAGGGAGCAGGAGGGCTCTGAGGAAATGCAGAGGCCCTGGCCTGCGATGGTTCGACATACTCGAATGTTTACCCGGCTTCAAGGAAGCCAAGAGTCTGGGATTGATTCACATTCATTTCAGGCTCAAGGTTAAAGACTCACAACCTCTTTTAATTTCACTCTCTCTTGCTGAACTCTGTGTCCAGGGTTCTCTAGCCCTCTAGGGAAACAAACACATGGAATATTCAGAAAGCAGAGAGGTCTAGGGTCCCCCCGTCCCAGAAGCAAGCCATTTTTCTTGTCAACCCAAGACTGCACTGAACTAGTTACCAATGTGCTAATGAGAGGTCCAGCATCCTTTCCTTTCCTAGTCCCTCCCCTAACAGATGCACATTCCTTGCCACAGCAGTCCTCAGAACCTGGAGTCTGGAGGGGGAAGTGGGAGCAGGAGAGTCCAGTCTAGAAGGAGCAGTGTCCAGAGAGAGTGGCTGGTCTTGGGGGTAGGCACCTGAGGTTCGTGGCCTGGCTGGTTTGAAGAAGCAGGACTTTCACTAGTGAACACGGAGCCTGCTACAAACATGCTACATACAAAGGTGGCTGGAGATGGGTTAGGAATTTGAGGGGAATAAGGCAGAGGAGTTGTGCAACTTGGCCTTGGGTCAAAGGGCTGAATGCTGATTTGTCCTTGATCACCAGAGGGAAAGCCCCCTTCTCCCGTCCCTGCCAGGCTGGGGAGAGTCAAGCAGAAAAACAACTCCTTTGGGCGTGGGACCTTGAGGATTAGCTCTGTTTGCTGGAGGAGGCTGTGGGTGTGAGTGCTGGTTCCAGAGTGGAAATTCAGCCAGTGGGCTCCAGGTCTGTGGGCTTGTCTTGTCTGGGAATAGCTCTGGGATGGTAGGAAAAATGAGGGACTTTGCACTCAGACCTCTTGCCACTCACTTGCTATGTGATCTTGGGCAAGTCAGTCCACTTCTCTGAGCCTCAGTGTCTTTTTCAGTTAAATGGATGTGTTGGCAGATCCTCCCCCCTCCTATTTCAGCTGGAGGCATATGTGAAGTGAAGGATGTAGGCAACTGCTTGGGAAGATGTTGAATGAGGCTCAAGGATACGTCAGTAGGGTGTGTTATTAAGTTTCTGGGGGTAAAACAAACTTGTCTGTGACTAAGTCAGAAGAAGAAAGCAAGAGACTAAGCCAGAGTTCCTTCTTGAACATTCCAGATGCCAGTCGGATGGGACTGTCCTAGCACCACGTGCATTTTGTCTGCCTGGGGCCCTCCATCTCACAGGGGTGCTGGGGGAGGGATGTGTGTTGTGGGTGGAGCAGGTTCCTCACCCTGATGTCATGAGTCAGAAGTCAGTCCAAGAGTGCCCTGCCCCTGGCTTTTATAGCCAACTCTTGATAACCCAGGGCACAGTGGTTTGGCTCCTGTCAGAGCTCACAGACACCAGCATTTTCCATGCAGCATGCACATGGCCACCCTCCTCTGCTGGAGAATCCCCAGGAAGAGGACCCTGCTGAGAGGAGGCGGGAGGCAGCCACCGATTCATCTCACCCAATCTCACTCCTGGCCACCTGCTGCACACCTCCCCATGGGAAGACGGCCTTCGGCTTCTGAAGGGACCCTGCCTGGTATCTAGGGGGCCCTCAGAGACTTTGGAAACCAAAGGGTGTGGCATTTTTATAGAAACTATTTCAGCAAAGGAGAAACTAGGGGTGTTTATTTAGAGTTTGCATTGTGACTATGTTGACCAGAGTGTGTGCACGGAAACCACAGAGGTTGCAATCCCTTTGGAACCAGTACCCATGGGCAAGGGGACAGACAGGCTCTTTTTGAGACCATAGGTCCAAGAAAGGGTCCAAGAATGGGCCTAGAATTACAGGCTGGATTCTACAATAGAGGGTGGGAATACAAGGTTCTTAAGGAAGCATGATTCCTGGGGGAGAGGCAAGGCGGTGGCTGGGGGGGGGGGGGGAGCTCTGCCTGATAAGCCCCTTTGAGGTCTCTGAGAGAAGGAAGGGTCAAGGCTTAAAGGCCTTTTTTTTTTTTTTTTTTTTTTTTTTTTTTTAAGAAAGAGTGGAAGAGTGAGGTAAAGACAGAGAGAAACATTGATGTGAGAGAAACACATCGATTGGTTGCCTCCTGAAGGAGCTTGGACCAGGGTCTGGGTGGGGAAGAGCCTGCAACTAAGGTATGTGCCCTTGACCAGAACCAAACCTGGGACCCTTTGGTCTGCAGGCCGATGCTCTAAACACTGAGCCAAACCGGCTAGGGCACAGGCTCCTTTTCAAAGGCTGTTCCAAAGTTGGGGTCACCCTGGGATAAAGGGAAAATTGGCTTAGCGATAGGAAGTAAATGGAGGGTGGGCAGAAATGGTCATTTCTCTGAAGGAGAATTGCTAAGAACTAACTGTCCCAAGCCAGCCTTATTGAATGGCTTTATAAATGACAGAAGAAAAGATGAGAATTCAATGGCTAAGGTTTGAGATGACTGAGCTCTTTCTTTTAGACTGAAAGCTAAGGGGAGGGGATAAGCCAAAGGAAGACTTCCAAAGGCTGTGAGGCAGGGATGTCAGAGCGGCTCTTTGTGGCCAGTGCAAAGTGCCACACTTCAAGAAGGAGGCTGAACCAGGATGGACAAAGATCTAAGTGTGCACTCAGAAGCTAGGCTTCTGGCGGTCAGAGCCAGCCAGAGGGATGCAGGTGTCACGGGGTGGGGTGGCAGAAACCAAAGGAATGGAATCTTCCTCAAATGGCTTTCTAGGCCAGAACACTTTTGGTCACGGAGCAAGGTCAGAGCTAAGCTGATACAGAAGTAGGTCAGCTGAGTGAGGGCCTCTCACTAAGGGGAGGGCTCTCTAATGCATAGGGGAGAGGATGGGACCTCATCACTGGCTCTGGTTTCCTGCCCTGAGAAAGCCTGGCAGTGATTTCCTAGTGATACCTCATGGGAATGTGAGTCTGGACACCATCTGCTCAAATAGGTCTGCACATCACCTTAGCTAGTCTGGCCTCCCTATTACTGTGGTTCTGTGCTAATGAATGAATGAACAATGAGGGGCTTTCCCACATTTTCTGCATCCTTCCTGTCATCATGCATAACTGGCAGGACTGCATCCACTGAAAGATCATAGGACATGAGCATATGCCATCAACAGGCTCTTTGTGGCTCATGCCCCCTGCCAGAGGGCTCAGATGGCATAGTTCCCACCTAGCACACGAGTCCTCTCCTGTGCAGTGTGTTATGGGTGCTCTATGTTTGGATGGGGGTAGAGGCACCTCATAAAGTATCAAGAGATGCCTTCTGGAGTCTATGCCTCCTCAAAGAAGTCCAAGGGCTGGCTAAGGGAACACATCGGGGCCATCTGAGAAGATCGGAACAGGGCTCCCTTGCAGTTTAGAGACAAGGAAAGGGAAGAAGGTGGTAAACAGACTACTTATTTGCTCTGAGACCTGAGGACATAGGGGTTCAGAAAGATCTACACAAGGCCAGAGAAGAGATTCAGGTAAAAAGTGATGGCATGAGGTGACGAGCTCGGCAGGAGGGAGGTGATGGAGGGGGTCAGAGCCCAGGCTGTTGCTCAGGTAAGGAAGGCAGGAAACCAAGGACTAGACCAGATCCCTCAGGGCCTCCAGCCCCACACGAGACCTGAAGCTTGGCCCACTGAGGTCAAGTTAGGGCCTTGTCCCTTCTAGGAAGGCATCAGACCTTGAGCATGCAGGGAGAGTGGTATGCTTTTGCTGATGCTTTCAGGTGTGCAAGGAGAGAGGGCAGAGGGTTCCGAACCACTGGGCTGTGATCTCCTGGGACCCCAGACGGACTATGACCTCTGACCACTCCCTTCGCTGGACCTCACTGTGCCTGACTGTGACCCCTGAGGGCCTTGACCCACAGTAACCTTTTGCCTGACTGACTGGAGACTGTAATTTCCTGGCCAACTCTGACCCTTGTCCTTGTGAGCCAGCTTTTTGTCACTGATATGACCCTAGACTGATTGGGACACCTTGTGCCCCCTGGCTGACTGCTCCCCCTTGGCTGCTGGGACCTTGTAGTGCAGGGGGATATTTAATTATTGAAACCTTCCTGGCCGATGATGATCATTTGACTGATCCAAACTTTTTGACTACTTGTGACCCTTCCGACCCCTTGACTGACTGGTTGTAACTCCTGACTCTGACCCCAGCTGATTCTGCCCACCAAGAGACTGCCCCCCATCACTGGCTATGGTGGCCCTCAGCCCACTGGGCCTAACCATGACTGGCTGCCCCCCATGTCCTTGGTGTCCCGGCCCCTGCCCGCCTGCCCGCCCGGCGCTAGCGTCGGTGGTGCCCGAGGCGGTAAGGATTCACACTCACGCCCAGCTGCAGCAGGAGGAAGGCTGGTCGGAGAGGAAAGAGCATTGGACAACGACACGTGACTAGGGCTAGAGAGATTGGCTACGTCCTGGCTCTGGCTGGTGACGGAGGACTGTCTCCGCAGGGCCCCCTGAAAGGAGGCCCCGCTCTTGAAAGTATTGACTACTTCAATCTGCAACGGAGGAGAGAACGAGACAAGTTGCGAGAAGAACGAACACAACAGCTACACGACTGACAGGCGCAATGCCACGAGAACAGCCGCAGCCACGGCAACAATGACGACGTCACTGAAATAAAAATAAAAATACCAGACACACTCCAAGGCTCTGAAAGATGTCTGCTCGGTTCTGGCCCATCTGCAGGCCCAGGGTCCCACGGAGGACCCCAGGGCCCGGCCTTTGCTCTGCTCCAGTGGCTCATGGGCAGTGGGCTGGGCTGGGGTTGATTAAACATGGTGTTTGGAAGTGAGAGGGGTGCTTAGTGCCACTTGGGGCCAGGGGTGGAGCCTGAGTGGTATGGTGGGGGCTCTGGGTGGACAGACTTTGGCCCAAATCTCAGCTATGCCACTTACAAGCTAGGTGACTTTGGGCAAGTCACCTATCCTTCTGAAGGGGTGATACCACCTACCTGGCAGGGTATTCTGTGAGTGGCAAGCACTTGGCCCGTGTTAGTGTTCCTTAAGCGCCAAGCTGGATAGGCACTCTGTCCATTCAGGAAACTACAGTCCCGGTGTCCTGCAACCTGGAGACCCCTGAAAGGCTCTGCGCAGGTTGGTAACAGCCATGTGCACCGAGAGCGGCCCGGCAGGCGGGGAGGAGCCCAGGCTGCATCCATCAGGTGGCTCTGGGTCTGAAACCTGCCTCTGTCCCCCACCCCAGCTCTCAGAAAGGGCTGCCTCCCCTTTAAACCCCAGTCCCCTCTAAAATTGGAGGAGGCTTACCTACCTCTCAGGGGGCTGGGAAGGTCAGTGAGATGATGTCTGGGACAGCGCATTGTGGGTGTGAGGCAGCCCAGGTGACCTGTTCGTTATGTTTGTTAAATGAAGTGCTAGGCCACCAGGCAGGATGCAGGTGGGGTCTCTGCAACACATCCCAGAGTGGGATGGGGTGGGGGCCATGAACAGCTCTCCCAGGTGGTCTAGGTAAGAGACGGACGCTCTCTCAGTTACCTAGGCTGTGAAAGCATGATGTGAACTGTAACCCCAACCCAGGCAGAGGGGCTGGCTCCCATGAGAGCCTGCAGCGCGTGGTGGGAGGACTGCACATTATAGCACCTGGCATGTGGCAGCCATGCAGTCTCTGTGTTGGGGAAGAAACACGTGTGCTCTGCAGGTGTCTTTGGCATGCATGTGTGTGTCTGTGAGTGAAAATCAAGCTTTGCTTCCCAGAGCTGCCTGAAAACTCGGAAGACCATTATGGAGGACGAGGATGTGTGAATGTGTATAAGCCCCGGATCTCACGGGCCCCTGGTCCTGGGAGAATTTGAGACCAACCCTGGCCTGAAGCTGCCATCTTGGCCTCCTGGAGACCAGTCTCCAGCCTTGGGCTGTCCCTTCTAGTAGCTGCCCCGCAGCCCTGACTAGAGTCCCTCAGTCCCCTCAGCTCTTTGGCCCACCTCTCCCTGCTCAGGGGTAACCCCTGACACCCCAATCTGATCCCTTGCTGACTGAGAAGGTGATGTGGAACATTCCTGAGGAGGCCACTGTTTATTCAGCAGCTACTCGAGAGTGCATGCAAGGAATGTGGGCACAGAAAAAGCTGGTGAGGTGGTGAGAGCAGGACCCTGACCTCTGGGGCCCTGGGAGGTGGTATGGAGCACATTTACTCCATCACCTGCCTGCCCGGCCAGGCGTGGGCCCAGCCCTGGGAGCCTCCTGTACCTGGGTTTGGATCCGATTCAGGCCTCGGAACCATAGGATCTGGCCCCGCCTCAGCTCCCGCTCGGCGTGGTCTATCTCCTCCACGTCCTCGTTGAGCTCCTCCTCCGGGATCTCCTCCTTCTGTGTGAGCCTGCCCGCCTCCTTGAGGAACTTGAGCCTGCTGGTTGGGATGGTGGCGATGACCTGCAGGGGATGTGGCAAGGTCAGGGCAATGGGGCTGTCCCTCAGCCAGCCTCCTTCCCTCCCTGCCACCCCCTCCTTGTTCTCCCAATCTCCTGCTTCTCTGACCCAATTACTTCCTTACATGTTCAACTAATTAACTCATCCCAATTCAATTTTAAATCTCTTATTAATTTGCTTTTTAATTCATTCACTCATCCTGAGTCAAGGGGGCACAGTGGAAAATCCTGGCTTCTAGGAGTTGGACAGATGTGACTTTGAGTTCATCAGACCTTCCTGGTCATGTGACCTTGAGCAAGTCCTTCAAACTCTCTGAGCTCTGGTTTTCCCATCTGTAAAGCTGAAGGCAATTCTCTGGGCTGGAGGGTGAAACGAGATGGTGTGTCTAAGATGCTATGCACGAGCCTGGTAGGCCCTCAGGCTTCTGGGCTCTCTCCTCCTGAGGCCTCTGGGTCTTGGGCACCCAACCTGAGCAAGAGGGTCTCAGGACCTACATAACCTGGGGAGAGCCAATTTGGGGATTCTGGGAATGGTTGCTTTCCTAACTAGGGGAGGCTACATGAGAAGGAGGAAACCTTCATTCTTCCTCTTTCTACAAAGGATTTGTCCATGAGGCTTGAGAGGCAGGCCCTATAGGGGAACCAAGGGGGCAGCGGTCAGAGGCTCCTTGTATCCCCTGCAGGGATAGATGGGCTGACATGGACACAGCTTCAAGGGTTCCCTGGAAGTTTAAGGTGGGCATTGCCTGCTGGCATTGTACTTAGGCATTAGGAGTCTGCTCACCAAGACACCCTGAGCTCTCTAAGGGAGTGGGCCCCAGTGGAATAAAGATGGCCTGGCCCAAGAGCTTGAAGGACTTGCCCAAGGTCACATGACCAGGAAGGTGCCCAGGGAATGGGGTTTCCTGAATCAAATCTAGTTTATCAACTCTTCCAAGAAGCCCAGAAGTTAAAAACATTTCTTTTGAATAAAACTAAACTTTCTTCTTTTCTTCTACTTAATTTCTGCCACTGGAACATTCCACCCAAACCTGGGAACAGCTTGGAGGCAAGAACACTGTCTCAGGTCCATTGGGGCCCCCTGCCAGGGTGACAGCACCTTAGAGATAAAGTCCCTTTGGCCCAGCTTGGACCTGTCTCATAAACACCACGTCCTGGTCAGGATCTTTGAGCTGAAAATTGTGAGCACTTTGATGGGTGTGTGTGTGTGTGTCCCAAGAACATGGGCAACAGTAGGAAAGGGAACTGGTGGGAGAATGTCCTAGGGTCATAGTTGAAAGGCCTGCACAGAGCATCCAGCCCAGTGGTGCCTAAAGCCAGGAGGATCTCAGATGGCCAGAGGCACATCACTGAGTAGATCTGCCACATGGCAGATGGCCTTTGTGTTCCCTCGGAGCCTCTGAAGGAGCCTCTCTTTGGTGTGGCTCCAACTCCTCATCTCCCATCAGCACCATCAGTAACACCACCTAACTGATCTCCCTTTTTGACAGCTAGCTGCCTGTAGGCTCTGAGCCTTGGCAGACCATGGCATCAGGTTAGAGTTAATACCATTGTTCACATTACATTATTTCTTGGTTAGCTTCTATTTATGACAAGTGATATTAACTTCCCACTCATGTTAGTAATATAAAGTTGTCTTTTGAAATAAATTTCAATGAAAAAAAGCCTGATACAATTACAAGAAACTATTAAGTAAATAACATGATCAGTGGTACCTAGATATGCGGCAAAAAATCAGAGTGATGATACCCAAATGACAAGCATCTGGGACCTGGGCCAACTTCCATTGCTCAGATGCCCAGTGGCAGGGAGGGCCTTGTCCCGGGCCACACAGCAAGTCCCTGGCAGAACTGGGACCCATTCCTGGGGCTCCCGGATTTCCTGGCCAATGCTCTTTCCCTTCTCCCACTAAGAGGCACTTCCCATAACCCACTCAGAACTTACCTGGCCCCAGACGAGCTCTCCTAACCCGATGAATATGCACCACATCCACTGGTCCAGCTGCAGCGGAGAGCAGCTGAATGGCTTCCCCCCAAACTGCACGATCACTATCTGGAGGTCCAAGGGAGCAGAGACAGAGACAGACAGAGAGATGGGCCATCAGGGGTCAGGCTAGAGGCCTGGGCTCTCAGGACACTGCAGGGAGCTCCAGCTGCCCACTACCCGCTGGCCCAGGTTAAATGGTGGCCTGCCTACCTGAATGGCAAAGGTGCCCAGCACGATGGTGCAAAAGATGGGATTCCGGAAGATGCCATCAAAGACGTTGCGCTCCCCGTGGATCTTGCGGGCATTGATCTCGTTGAAGAGCTGCATCATGACGAAGGTGTTGAAGATGATGGTGTAGTGCTCCGAGGGTGGCGAGTGCAGGGGGGCGTTCCTCCCACTGTCGATCTCGAACATCTTTTCACCTGCCAAGCCGAGAGTGCGGGAGCTGGGTGGGGGCTGGGGTGGGGGAAGACCCTGGGCCCTGCAGCAAGGGGGGCAGCCCAGGCATGGAGGTGCGCCCCGGACACGGGGCAGGTAGGCCTGGCAGGTAGGTCATGAGGTGAGTGAAGGGGTAACAAAACCCTTTATCCTCTAAGCCTTAGAGGATAAGGGAACAAGACCTTAGTGAACTTCCTTCCACTTTTCCATGGAAAGCTGGTAAATGTGGGATGCTGGCTGTGTTATCAGGCGACATTGCTAATAAAAAAATGACAGGCTCATCTGGACTGCGATGACTGGAGGTGAACTAGGGATACCTGGTGGGAGGTCATGGCTGTGGGGGTCTCCCAAAAGTGCTGTTTTTTGTAACTGGGCGTGTCCCTTGCTGAGATCTTTGGAAGCTCAGGGGACTATTATAAGAGATATAATTCCCATGTGGAGGTTGGGATCCTCGGCCAGACTGGCTCGGACACATCCATGTTGCTGCTTCTCTTACAGCTGAGCTGTCACACGGAGGAGGGCAGAGCACCCCGGTATTGTGTGGACACCTGCTGATGGCGTGCCTATGCAAGGTGGTGCCAGGAGGGCTTGTGGGGTTTCCTGTGTGAGAACTGCGCACCTGAACCCAAAACCACTGAGGTAGATGCTCAAATGGGAAAGCCAGCAAGTAAGGCAGGGGCTGCCCTCCTCTCTCCCTGGAAGCCTTTCCCTGGGTGTCTCCTACTTCTGCCTTTCTGTGGCTTCCTGCAAGGCTTCTCATGTGCTCTTCACAATGGCCCTGCCAACACTCCACTTTGGAGATTTCTGGAAGAGGCCTGCCTTCTGAGGAACAGGACCGTGCCATCTGTCCTCTGTCCTTTGAAGGCAAGTGCGTCTTGGTGTTGAAAGTCCAGCTCAAGGAGGCTCATGTGAAGGGAGCCTGCCCAGACAGGGCCTCTAGCTGGGCCTGACTGCTGTGTAACATGGGCAAGCCTCTTCCCCTCTCTGGGCGTCTATTTTCTCATCTATTACCCGGGGGTGGGCTCTGCATGGATCATCTCTGAAGCACTCATGGAGACCAGGCCAGTCTTAGCCCATCTAGACGTGATTCTTTGCCCAGGCTCCTCCTCAGAGTTCATGCCCTTGGGCAAGTCACCTCACCTCTCTGTGCTTGCTGTTAGCATTGTCATGGGGTGTGATGGCAAAGGTGCCTGCCTCACGAGTGGTTGGCAGCCTAAGTGAGGTATTGTGGGAATAACTGGTGAGTAGGCAGGTGTGTAGGAAGCCTCACTGAGGTAGCCTTCCACTGGGCAAGGATGACATGTGGGAATGCATCAGAGAAGGGGCCAGTCATTTCCCCCAAAGCCTTAGGCTCCTCTGGGGCTGGCGTGAGGGGCATTCATCAACACTTGGGCACCACCTCACATAGGGTGTACTCAGTGTTTAGAGCTGGCATCTGTGGAAAAAGCCTTGGTTTGAGGATTGGCCAGATACAGGACAGAACCTGGCTCTGCCCAAGTCTTGCTCTGTGACCCCGAACAGCAAACTTCATTTCCCTGGGCCTCCGCCCCGCACTGGCAAACAAGAAGTGGGTGAAAATCAGAATGCTGGGTGGGGTGGGGGACTCACCGACAAAGAGCAGTGTGAAGATGAGGGTGAGCTGGTAGACGGCGTGGCCCAGGATGTTCTTCATCATGGTCCGTGAGATGAGGGGCTTGTTGCGGCCGTAAGGCTTCCTCAGAAGCAGGGTCTCGGTGGGCGGCTCGGTGGCCAGCGCCAGTGAGGCGAACGTGTCCATGATGAGGTTCACCCAGAGCATCTGCACGGCCTTCAGAGGGGAGTCCTGGGGACAGCAACAGTGGCGAGGGCTGTCATAGGGAGACCGGCCCCAACTGCTGCCACCACGTGCCTGGTGTGGGGCTCAGCAGCTTTCTGCTGGAGCCTTGAGGCCGCTCTGCCCAGTGGGTCTGTCCTTGCCGGCCTGGCCCCTGGGTTCCTGAGCAGGCACAGAGCAGGTTTGCTGAGGCTTTCCCTGGAGGACAGCCTAGACCTGCCCACTTTGGCTGTCTTCTTCCCCAAGGACAAAATGGACTCCCCAGGGCCAATGACAACAGGCTCTCTGGTAAATACAGCCATGTCTTTGCTTGCCACCTCCCTTCCTCCCTTCTTCCCCTCCATGAGTCTCACCTCTGGGCAAGGCCACAACGACCCCCATCATCTCCAGCACAGACTCCATCTCCTCTGTCTCCCTCTGCACCTCCTCGCTGCCTCTTTCCTCTCAACCATTAATGGTTCGGGTCTCTCCTGCCCTACCAGCAGTGCCCCAACCCTGTCCTCTTATACCACTCAATTTCTCTTTATCCTTTACCCCACTTTATTGTCAGCAGTTATTGTGTGTGTGTGTGTGTGTGTGTGTGTGATCCCAAAAATAACATTTTTATGGTAGAAAATTTGTGCAAGTAAGGGATAGCAGAAGCTAAAACTCATCAGTGATTGAACCTCCTGTAGGTTCCCACCACCCACAGTCTGGCGTGATCTTCCACACCTCTGCCTGAGATTGGGATCACATATTCATACCGTCCTGTGCAATCATGTCATGCAGTCGGCACTGCCCAGAGTTGCTGAATCCATCTGTCCCCCTCCTTCCTCGCACCCGGTGTGCCTTGTCCTTGGCAGCCAGACCCTGGCCTCTCCACGCTCCCCAAAAATCTTTCCCCAAGGTCATCAGTGCCCACTTGTCACAATCGAAGAACACATCTTCCAGCCCATCTCACTGGCCTCATCGGTGTTCGGTCACAGCCCCTTCCTTGCACCCCTGACCACACTCACCTTGAGCTCCTCCTCTCTGAATGTTCCTTTTCCTTCTCCATCTCCCTCAGGGTGCTTCTCCTCTTCCCCTGCTTGAAATCTGTGTTCCCTGTGGCCCCTTCACCAAGTCCTGTTCTTTCCCCCCCCACACCTGCCCCTGGCTGCAGGCGCCCCATCCTCCCTCACATTGCCCTCTTTCCAGCCCAGCCATCTCCCTGTGGCTTTAGCCTCATCCACTGGCGAAACACCTCCTCCAGGACGCCACAGACCCCGAGAGCCTACCAGCCTGAACTGAGCTGTTCCTGTTCCCTCTGTCCTCTCCATGTACCTCCTGAGGCCCCTGTCTGCACCCCATATACTCACTACCTCCTAGGTATTTATCAGAGCTCCTCCTCCTGCCCACTTCTCCCACCTCTGCCCTGGCAGAGTCACAACCTCAGCTTCTTCCTGCCATCAGCCTTCTCTGATCACATGCACCTTGGGGTTAGGGTCCCCGACCTCCACATCAAGGTCTCTATGGCTCTGACTCCAACTCAATCTAAGACCTTAGGCAAACTGGTAGTCCTCTTGGAACCTCAGTTTCCCCACCTGGCATCTGCTGGTCTCAAAGAAGCCTTGTGAATTGCCATGTTGTGGGAGTGCCCCCATGCCACCACTAGAGGGAGCGTCTCATCCACAAACCAGGAGAGAAGGCCCTTGAGTAGGGAGGGACTTCTCCAGAGCAACCCTCAGACTCTCTCAGGGCTTGGGAATTGGGTGCTGCCATGTGCATCCCCAAGGGCTCAGAATAAAGCAGAGGGGAGCAGTGTTCCCAGCGCCACACAGCTCTTTGGGGCAGAGCCAGCCTCCGGGCTTCTGGGGGTTCCTATGGGCAGGAACTTGTCTGCCCACTTGGCCGCTAGGAGGGGCCAGAATTGGAATACGCCCGCCTATCCCCCCCCCCCTCCCCCCCCCCCCCCCCCCCCCCCCGGCCCAGCGTGGTCAGCCCTTGGGGGAAGCAGGAGGTTATGGGAGAGTGGCAGGCACCAAGCCTCAGTTTTCTGGCTCTGTAAAATAGGGATCATCTTGCCGAAACCGGTTTGGCTCAGTGGTAGAGCGTCGGTCTGCGGACAGAAAGGTCCTAGGTTCGATTCCGGTCAGGGGCATGTACATTGGTTGCGGGCACATCCCCGGTAGGGGGTGTGCAAGAGGCAGCTGGTCGATGTTTCTCTCTCATCGACGTTTCTAGCTCTCTATCTCTCTCCCTTCCTCTCTGTAAAAAATCAATAAAATATAAATAAAAATAATAAAATAAAATAGGGATCATCACTGTTCCCTGCAGTATGGGGCAGGTGGGGAAGAAGGGGAAGGTGATGTTGGGGCCTGTGGTTAACTGCCCCTGGGTACAGGACCTGGGACTGCTCAAGACCCAGACTGAGATCCTGACAGACAACTGTCTCTCCCCGTGACAGAGTCCCTGACTCCCTCCTACGGCCCCAATTGGCCTTGGGAACCCAGGCAAACAGGCCTCACCCAACACCCTCCATGTCAGAACTAAGGCCCCCTGGGCCCTGCTGGGGCTCCTTGCCCCCCATCTGGCTGCCTGATCTCCTTGGACCCGGCCCTGTCCCACCCTTCCGCTAGTCCTTTATGTGGCCGTGAGCTCTGCCTCCCCTGAGGATAGCCTCTCCCGCCTCCTGGAGCAATGACCATCGCTGTGCCTGGGTCAGGCAGGCATGGAAGTGAGGCCTAACATCTCCACTTGCCTGGTGACCTTGGATAACCCCACCACATCTCTGAGCCTCATTTCCTCTGCTCCGCTGGGCTGGCGCCTGAGGTCTGTACTGCAGTTACTGGCCCGCAGCAGGCACCAGTGATGGGTGGGACAACCGGGGATGCCCTCCCCCAGGCTCCGGCATGCTCCACCCTGCCCACCCCTCGGGGAACCCACCTGCGTGATGCAAGCCCCCGTGAAGGCCACAATCACGGCCACCACGTTGACTGTCAGCTGGAACTGCAGGAACTTGGAGATGCTGTCATAGACGTTGCGGCCCCACATCACTGCCTTGACGATGCTGCTGAAGTTGTCATCCGTCAGGATGATGTCCGAGGCCTCCTTGGCCACATCTGTACCTGCAATGCCCTGTGGGGACGGGGACAGGAGCCTGGGTGGGTCAATTGAGGAGGCCAGCAGCTCTAGCAACACTCTCTCATCCCCTACACATCCTCAGTCCTATACAACCCCTACATATACACACCCAACTGCTAGCACAGCCAGATCACTGCACACACACACACACACACACACACACACACACACACACACACACGTGCGTACAGACGCATATGCATGCACACACACCTACTCCTGATAGACCCAGCACCCTGGGGCCAGCCCTCTCTTTCAGGAAGCCTCTTTCTGCCCCTTCCCCTAGACCCACTAGTGCAGGGAGCCTCCCTCTGCCCTTCCAGGGGGCCAGGCTGGGCCTTGAGACCGCTGGGCACATGAGGTGGACGGTGGGTGGGCTGAGTGTGAGCTGAGGGTCCTGCATCACCAGCCTGAGGCTGTATTGTCCATGTTCCCCTAATCCCCTATCCGTGAGCTCCTGCGAGATGCTGCCCTTGGCCCCCGCAAGCCGCTCCTACCATGGCGAAGCCCACATCCGCCTTCTTGAGTGCAGGGCCATCATTGGTGCCATCTCCTGTCACGGCCACCACCTGCCGCTGCTCGGTGTGGGTGCTGTCGATGATGCCTGTGGGAGGGGGCAGGAGTGTGCTCAGGGCCCTGGGATATTCCGTGGGGCAAGGACAATCTGGCCAGTCTTGAGCCTCAGGAGGACACAGGACTGGGCACAGCCTCCTCTCTGGCCTTTGCCCTGCCTGCTCTCCCCACCCTCATTCGTGGTTCTTCCCAGCTCCAGGGTCACCCATAGCTCCCAGCACCTGCAGGAGATGTCAGGCATCTTAGCTTAGTACCGGCTTGCAGCCCTTCATGGTCTGGGCCTGCTCACCAATCCAGCACCCTCTCTCCTCTCTGTAACCCATGGCCACTCCAACAGCCACCCTGGCCAGAATCGCTGCCCCCTGCCTGTCCAGGGGCTCCAGGGTTTTGCCAGGGGCCTACCATGTGCTCCCCCAGCACCACCTCTTTGGGAGGTTCAGTCACACCTGAGGAGGTCTAGGCTGCGCCATTCGCCAATGACCCCCGACCTACTGTACTGGCCTTGATCTCTCTCTAGACATTTATCATCAATAAAATCCTCAATAAATAACAGAATGAACAGATGTCATGTGGCCCCTGTCACTGAGCTGGGGCCAGTGGAAGGGATGTGTGAAATGCGTCACTGGGCATGTGTGGAGTTTATGGTCAGGACAGAAATTTGAGTGTCGACCTTGACATGTCGCTCTCTCATTCTGCACATCAATGTGTGACTAAGGCCTGAGCATCCTGGCTCCGAAATCCCACTGGGATCCTTCCGCTTCTCTCTGACCGCATCCCTTTTACCTCACTAACCCAGGGCTCCCCTTCCAATCTGCACAGCAGCGCCAGGATGAACACCTGGGTCTGCACCTGCCCCAGCATCAGCTGAGTCATTCTCTCACTGCCCACTTGGCCTTGGAGGGACATCTCCATTCTTAGCTCTGCTCACGAAGTCCTCCATGGTCAGAACTTCCCATTCTCTGATCATCTCTTCTCTCAGCCCCCAGCCATCCCTCGTCTGTGATTTAACTTCAGGGATGGCTCTTGGTCCTGCAGAGCCAGCTCTACTTGGCCCTGTCTTTGCACAGGCTGTTCCCTCAGCCAGATCCCTGTCACCCACCTGCAGGCTCAGCTCGGAGGCCACTTTCTCTGGGAAGCCTCTGGGACCCCCTTTAGGCCCCCACCCTAACTGATCACTACAGCTCCCATTCGTCCACGTGTCCCCCTGTCCCGAACCTGGCAAACAGCACAGCCTGTGGAAGAAGGGAATGAGTTTCCTGACTTTGGGCACTTTGCTCTCTATCCCACCACCCAGCTTTCTGTGACCATCCAAGTTCCACCTGCTTCCAGGCCCAGCTCCAAGGCATGTACTTGGGAGCAGTCCCGGCTGCTCCCCAGCTGATCCACTACCAAGTACTATCCAGTTTCTGTCCACTTGGCATTTGAGGCCTTCATCCCTGCGGGGTCCCCTGGCCTGCCTGGGTGCTCCTCCAAGGCAGAGGAAAGGCCGTTTTTTTCTCTGAGGCTTCTCAGGCTGGCACTGGCATTCTCACAGGCCTCCTACTATTCCCAGGAGAGGGGGGGGGGAGCTGGGAGGATACCTTCTACCAGTCCCCTGTCCACCACCTCCAGTGCTGGCATGGCCCTGCCCTGCACGATCACCAGGGGCCTTCCTGCGGTCACATCCCTAACCATCTCTAAACCTCTTAGGAGCTGTTCATGCTGTAGACCTCTTCACCAAGCTTCCTTCCTTGCCTCCTGGCCCACTGCTCCTGGCTGTCCTCCACCCTCTGGCTACCACTCCTTGGGCCTCTGCCTGTCGCTCAGGTGTGAGGTCCTGGGTTCAGCTAGCTCCTCTGCTCTCCCTGCTCAGCTTACCCCACCTGTGTCTTCACTTCTGGCCAGCTGTCTTCTGAGCCCTGACTCCACGAATATCCATCTGTCCTCTAGACATCTCAGGTGGATGTCAGAGGGCCTTCAGCTCAGCCATCGAGTTTCCCCTCAAATCTGTCCCTTCTCTCACAACTCCTAACATCTAGCTGCTGCTCAAAAACTACGTGCATGCTGGTGCGCAGCAGGCTCCGAAACAAGTGGAGACTTATGGAATCCCAGACCCGTGTCTGCCTCATCCCTCCACCATATCCAAACCATCTCCAGGCCCAGCCCTTCCCCCACAGAATAGTTCCGTTCTCAGACCTGCTGACTTCCTGTCCACCAGCACTGTCACCACCCGGACCAGGTGTCACTTCTCATAGCTAGACAATCCTGGTGGTCCCTTTGCTTCCGGGCCACTCACTACACAGCAGGGAGTAAGCTTTCTAAAACAGTGCATGTCCCTTCAAGGCCCTCCCATAGTCCCCACCCTGAGCTGATTGTGCGGTCACTGTCCTGGCATTCTGGGCCCTGGATGAGCTGAGGCTGGCACCTCCTTCTCTGATCTCCTCCTCTGATCTCTCTCTCTCCTCGAGGTCCCAGCCAGCCAATTGAATGTCTTTTCACACCAGGAGGTGCTTGGAAGTCTTTGTCTCTGGGTTTTCATAATGCAATTCCCTGCCCTGCCTCAAACACAAGCTCCCCAAACCACCTTCCATGGCCTGTGATCTGACACCAGCAGAGGGTCTCAGATCATCCTTCTCTTCCCCCAGTGAAGCCTTTATCTCTATGTAGGGAAACCAGCTATTTAATATCTGCTGGATGGAACCTGGACCATGATTCCAAGGGGAAAGGCTATGATTACCAAGAGCGGGGCCCAGCACATGGTAGATCCTCAATAAGCATTTATCAAGACAACGAGTGAATGAATGAATGAGTGGCTGAATAAGAAATGGGGATAGAAATCGAGTGCTAAAGTGGGAAGAACTTGCCCAAGACCACAGAGCAAGTCAGTGCCAGGGCTGTGTGATCCTGAAAGTACCCAGTATCTGGCCATCTGAGTGGACTCAGCAAAGGTACATTCTCTCTGGAGGGAGACAGGGAAGGAGAAGGATGTTGGTTGTTGTCCTCAACCGTCAGATTGCTCTTCCTAGGCCATCCTCAAAGTCTCAGAGACCAAGCAGATGAAAGGTCTCAAACTCCCAAGCTCTGGGGCCAGACAGCGCATAAATGAATGAAGAGTGCCGAGTGTCAGAAAATAATGAGTATTGAAGACGGCGTCAAACATGAGAGAGCAGGATCTGTATAAAGTCATTCAAATTCAACATAAAAGAGGCATTGTACCACCCAAGTAAAATACATCTGTGGGCCCCATTCAGTTCTCAAGCCATGAATTTTGGCTCTAGACAGGCAACCTCATTGCTTCCTTTAGGAACTGAAGCCCAGACAGAAGATTCATAGCCTCCTCATCTCATGGCTCTTAGGAGGCCTCCAGGGCTGCAAAGAGGGTGAGATCAGGGTGTCCCACACGTGGGGAGCCCCAGGCAAAAGCCCTTTTGTCCTGAGAAGAAGCTGTAGTTGCCAGGGAGGAGACTGTAGGGACCTGGCATCTGGGCCTCAGAATCGCCTGTGCCTGCCCAAGTCTTACCTTTGACCAGGGTGTGCTTGTCTGTGGGGGAGGAGCGAGCCAGCACCCGCAGCTTTGGCCAGATCTTGTCGATTCGCTCTTGCTCAATCTGGAGAGGGATGCAGGAGGGGGCGGATTGGTGGGGTTGGGGAGAGAAACTGAGGGCCAGAGAAAGGAGGGAGGTGCCTAGAATCACTGGGCTCTTGGCACATTCGCTGGCTTCTGGACAATCATGCAGCGCCCAAGCCTCCCAGTCCCCCGTCCAAGCTCACACCTCCGAGTGCCCTTCGCACTGGGCCACATACCTCCCCCTTCTCATTGCGGATCCTCTGGTTGAACTCCTTGCCCTCAATGCACAGAAAGTCCTCCCCAGGATGGATGATGCCACACTTGATTGCGATAGCCCGGGCTGTGTTGATATTGTCACCGGTGACCATGCGGACTGTGATGCCTGCCCGCTGGCACTTTCTGATGGCTTCTGGGACCTGAGTGGGAGGGCAGGAGCCATGGGGGTGAGCATCACCTCGATCAGACCCTCCCTGCCTTCATAGATTCAGAGTGAGCCCTGCTCACAGGCAGCACCACTATAAGGGGCCTAGATAACCAGGAGCTACTGATGGCACATGGACCATCTCCACCCCTGCGTCTCCCATGGAAGGCATTATTAATCAATTGCAGCACCCTCTGATTAAACCCTGATGTGGCCTCAGAATTCTTCTCTGCAGAGTGCCAGGCAGCTGCCACCTATCAACCGTTAAAGGATAAAAACAATGTTATCCGGACCCAGGCAAGGACTTTGAGAACACTCTTAATAAAATCCCTCAGACCTGGCCCCATGAGAGTACAAAACACTCTTCTACTGCACAGGATCTTGTCTCTGCTGTATCCACATGCACATGGCCTGCAAAGTCAATGATAAATATGTTTGTGTATTTTTAGTTTTTTTGGGGGTGGGGTGTGGTGGGATTGCATTTGGGGACATTTTATTTACAGAATGTGACACTGGCTTAGAATACATGCAAATGATTATGTTTCATGTAAAATATAACATTTCCCTGTGAGAGTGACAACTGCTTCCTGCCCTCTTTGTAATATCGGGGCCAATCAGGTCAGGCAGGACTAGCCAGTCAGAGGCCAGCAACCCGATCGGCTCACCCAGTCTCCAGCCTTATGCAAAACTGTGGATGTGGCCAGCAGTTAGGTTGCAAAAACCAGCCTGAACCTGCCAGAACACAGATCAACTTTATAGACAACACAGATCAACTGGACAAAACTCTTACCCATGGACAGTGACAGATAATAAAGTAATAAGGCAATATTTGGCATGAAACATGTTTTTGAGCAGGAGAGGACATGTCAAGAGCAGAACACCCTATGTTCTAGGCACTGTAGCACCTCTGGACTGGAGGGGCTGAGTCCCACATCTCAGTGCCTGGGAGCTCACTTCCATCCTGGGAGTGACTCAGGGAGCTAAATCTGCCAAGTCACTGTTGAGAGAGTTTGAAGGCTGTTTGGGGCTGAAATGTCTCTCCCTACCCCCCCACCCCCTCCAAGATACATTGAAATCCTCACCCTCAGGATCTCAGAATATGACCTTATTTGGAGGAAGGGTCTTTATACAGGTGATCAGGTTAAGATGAGGTCATTACGGCTTGGTCAATGTGGCTCTGGTTGAGTGTCAACCTATGAACCAAGAGGTCTCAGTTCGATTCCCAGTTAGTGCACATGACCGGGTTGCAGGCTCGATCCCCAGTGTGGGCCATGCAGGAGGCAGCTGATCAATGATTCTCTCTCATCATTGATGTTTCTACCATTCTCTCTCTCTCTTTTATATATAAATATATATAAAAGACAAGTCATTAGAGTAGGCCCTCACCCAATGCGACTGGTGTCCTCATAAAGAGGGGACATTTGGACACGAGTCACACACAGGAAGAAGGCCGATGTCAGGGTGATGCTGCTACATGGCAAGGAGTGCTAAGGATTTCCAGCCGAGCACAGAATCCGGGGAGAGTACTGAGACTGGTCCCTCACTCACAGCCTTAGAAGGAACTGACCTGTCCATACCTTGATCTCGGATTTCTACCCTCTAGAACTGTGAGACAGCACAGTTCTGTTGTCTGAGCTGCCCAGTGTGTTACAGCAGCCTGTTACAGCAAACACAAAGAGTGAGAATGTTCGTCCAAAACCTGACTGTTGATGGCTCCTGCCTGCTGGTCCCTTTCTGCCCCCAGGATTTTAATAACAAGGGTCGACCTTGAAAATATCCGGCCTCTGTCCACATCTTTCTACATCATCATCTCAGGTCAGGGTCACTGCCCAGCCCCTCCTCAACCTCCCTACCTCTGGCCTTGCCCCTCTTCCTTCTTTTCCCTACCCTGACCACCAGGAGCCTGACCTGCTGAAGCTCAGCCTGTGTCACCTCCTTCAGGGGCTGCATCCTGCCCCTGGTAGAGAAAATCCAGGCTCCTAAGAATGACCACCTTGAAGTGGAGCGAGGAACAAATGGCATGAGAGGCAGATCAGGTCCTGATAAGGAGGCCTCTCCAGCTACGTGTTCCCTAAGAGACCTGCTCTGTGGTAGCAGGTAGTGACCTCCCTGTCAGTGAGATACTAGCACAGGTGAGTGACCATGGCCTCTTCGAGGTGTATTTCCAGGGTCAAGGAGGAGCCTTCTGGGGCCTATTCAGGGATGGGAGTCACATGAGCAAGTTCTCTGCCTTGTGCCGCAGTGGCTGCTCACATAAGCAAATGTGACCTCTTTTTGTGGAGCCGGAGGGAGTGGGGATGTGGAACGTCCACGTCCTGTTTACATAATGTACCGTGTCCTCACAATGGCTATAGCTGGGGCTGCAGCTCCCGCGGTCTCCTGTCCCAGCGGACAGGGAGGAGCCACTGTTCCTTTGGGAACGCTACCTTATGTGGCTCCTGCCCTGAAAGAAAGAATTTAGGTTACATTTGTTTCAAAGAAACTTGAGGTCGTGGAGTTGGAAGGAGCTATAGGTTGTGACTCTGACCTATATTCATTGCCTAGATCTCCCCCCAGGAGTTCCTGACAGATGGCCGGTCAGCCTCTGCTTGCACGTCTCTGATGACAGGGTGCTCACCGCTGCGGCTGATTGCTCCACAGCGGAACAAGTCTATCGTGTCCTTCCACATTTTTCACATAATGGTCCGGTACTCTTGCATGGAGGCAGGGTCTTTGGTAAAGATCTGCATCAGGGGCTCTGGGAGCACGGAGGACGATGCTGTTACTTTAGAAGGAAGTGGGTGGGGAAAAGAAATCTGCGAGAGCTTCCTGGAAGAGAGCTGCCTCTGCTCAGCCAGCACTAACTGAGGCTCCGGTGCCTGGCACACTGCCTTGGCCATGGTCCTGGCTGCAGAAGATTGTCCCAGGAGGTGCAGGGAAGGGGGAAGATTGCTGCGGATGAACTGCTGTGGGTGGCCTGGAGGGGCTGAGGCTGAGGCTGAGGAAGGGCCATGAGGCTGGAAAGAGGCCTGAGGTTCAGAGGTGCTCAAACCAGAGCCTTGCTCCTTCAGGCCTGGGAGCCATGGCAAATTCTGAACTGGGAAGGTTATTGGTGCCATGTTTTCAAAAGACTTCTGCTTTCAAGACTGTCTCAGGGAGCTAAACTGCCTACCTGGAACTCCATTCATTCTCTGGGTCTCCCCTAAATAGGTCCGCTGGGGAGAAAAAGGAGGAAGCTAATTATTATGGCCCCACACTTTTCTCTGTGCAGTGGAAGCTTCCCTGCCTCAGGATAGGGGGCTTAGGGCTTTGCCCTGGGTGCCCACCTCGGCCTTGGTTTCCTCTTTTGTGAAATGGGGATGACCGTCTCCACCCTTCAACAAGGCTGCAGAGTTCTGTGACAAGAGCTGAACAGCACAAGCACAGGGCCTGCAGATGCTGGTGACAAGAAAGCATCTGCATCCGCACCCCCAGTCTTCCTTGCTTGTGTTGTTCTGCTGGGGGCGGGGTGGGGTGCGAGGGGGTGTGGATGCAGATGCAGTGCAGGTGAGGTGCAGTGGGCATCTGGCCATGAGGAGGAGCCGGTGTTAGGTGGTGGTACGGATGGGCACCCCACTATGACTCTTGGGTCAGATTCTTTAGGGCCTTGTGACCTGCTCAAATGTGGGGGTGTTTGCGACAGGCCTGGAAACACCTGAGGAGCCCCCCTGGCCACCTGAGATACTCCACTTCCTTCCTGGGCAGTGGCCCTCCTAACTGGATGCCTTGGTTATGCTTCATGCTTTTGTGTGCTGGGCGTCTACACTTCCCCTTCACCAGACGTTTCCTTAGGCTTTGGGCTCTGGAGGGTGGGTGCTGCCCATTACTTGGAACCCTCCAGAGGGCCTGGCACAGAAAAGCTGCTCTGTAAACATGGGGCATTGTGAACCAGCTCTGTGCTCTTGAAGTCTGAGCTGGGACATGTGATTTTATACAGGGCCAGATGAATGCATTTGGATGGGGATTTGCAAACCCTTCACAAATCAGCTCCAAGATCCATTTCTAGCCTTTTTTCTTTCTTATAAACTAGTTTCCAACACTTAGCAACCCTTCCCACCTCCTTGCCTTTGCCTGTGCTGTGCCCTCTGCCTGGATGGCCCATCTTTCATGGGAAATGCTCTCTACTCATATGCCATCCTTGCTTTCTCCAACCCAAGGACACACTTCCTTGAGCTCTCCCAGTACTTCCTTCTATTGCTCGCTCATTCACTTATTTGGCAAACAGCTATTGAACATTTAATGGTTCAGAGGATTTGAAGATGATTAAAACTCAAGCCCCAGGGACACCAATCTGCCTGAAATATGTTTTCTACATAGATAAAATAGCTATAAAACTTAAAAAAGATTCCTTCTTTTGCTAAAATTATCCTAAATATTTCTCACCGAGGAGGAACAGCCAGGAAATGGGCGCTTCCTGTTTTCATTAAATAAAGGCTTTTAAACATCTGCTGTTTCTGGTGACAGCCGGTTGACTGTGACTCCAAGGGCTCCCACACCCCCAGATAACCCAGCGAATCCCAGACGGGCACTCTCCTGATGGCTTTCTCCACGCTGGCCTCGATCAACCTCAGAGAATGTACCTGCGGTCACGTCCTATGGTGGAGTGTTTGGCAAGCCTGTTTTTAGCTGTTCTGTCCTTGTCTTCTTGCAGGAGGAAGGCAATCGGAGGTTTTCCCCCATGACAGAAGGGGAAACCAAGGAGCCAGAGTTTGTTTTCCTGTGGCAGCTGCAAGCCGAGTCTGAATGTGCTTATAGGGCCCTAGAGGTGGTCCATCCAGGCTGAGGTTTTCACCCTGGCCAGCCTCAAGGCTGTCCAGGAGAACTTGATACAAACACACTCATTGCAGGCATAGACTTTCCCCAAGACCATCCATGACACTGATGAGGATGCTGCCGCTGAGGTGGGAACTGGGGAACTGAGGGTAGCAGGGGGGCTACTTCACCCTATCTGTGCCACTGAACCACTGAACTGTTTGAATCTGGCTTCATGTGCATAAATTACTTAGCCTGAAAAAGAATACAAAAACGACATCTGCCAGTTTCCTCAGGCCCTGTGTCCACCCCCGCCGCTCTGCGAGATGCTGAATCAGCATGTAAGAGCTTTATACTTTCGAGTAGTATCATCATTAACTCCTACAGTGAACGTCCAACTTTCTCATTGTTTAGATGGGGAAACAAGGCCCGGGGAAAAGATGCACGGAGGTCTTCTGTGAAGAAGTGGCAGGCACAGGATTAGAACCCTGGTCCCTTGACTGCTATTGTCACTTCAGTAAGTTGCTGCTCTCTATCACAATTTACAACTTCTAAATCTACATCCTGGGGATGAGCCAAGGTGAGAGAGGTCACCAACAGGGATGTGCTGACTGAAGGGAGGGAAGAAAGGGGTGAAGGTAAACCTTCCAGTCAGCTGGCTCAGAATGTCAGAGCTTGGAAACAACCTGAGGGGCACCTGGGCCAACCTCCCATTTTACAGACGAGGAGACTGAGGCACAGAGAGGGGAAGTGGCCTATCAGTAGCAGGTTTGGGGCTTGGACCCAGGCCCACTTTCTTTACTGTAGAGGCCTCAGGATGGAAGTGCACCCAAATCCTGGTGGGTGGGACAGCAACCCCTCCCACAGTCTGAGCCTGAAGCCACATCTCTGGATGATCATACTGTCAACAGAAAATGCCCTTCTTAGGAATTCTCTCTTCTCTCCTCACCCTCCTGACTTAGTGTTGCTTGCCTTTTCTTTTCAAAGAAATATATTTTATTAATTTTTTACAGAGATGAAGGGAGAGGGATAGAGAGTTAGAAACATTGATGAGAGAGAAACATCAATGATCAGCTGCACCTTACCGGGGATTGTGCACAACCAAGGTACACGCCCTGGACCAGAATCGAACCTGGGACCCTTCAGTTCGCAGGCCAAAGCTCCATGCACTGAGCCAAACTGGTTAGGGCACCTTTTCTTTCTTTTCTTTCTTTCTTTTTTTTTTTTATGGCACCCAGGAAAAGGTTATGGGTCAGGAAGACAGAAAACCTGTTCTAATTTGAATTCACTTGGCCACTTACAATGAGACTTTGGGAATGTCACTCTTCCTGTTTGGGCCTCAGTGTTTTTATCTGCAAATTGGGGGTGTGGGGAAGTGTTTAGACTAGACCAGCAGTGCAAACCTTGAGTCCCCCCCTCCTCCCCGCCTCTTAGTGGAATGTGAAGTCAGTTTAATAGGTGGTGACCAGAATTTTAAAAAGAAGGAAAGAAATACAAGAGAACAAGAAATATTTAAGTGCATCACATTACTTTGTGAGATTCTTATTTTGGTTAAGCATGTGTGTTTACTGAGTCATGACATAAAACACATTTCTTATCATTGCACTCATGGCTACTTTGCACCCATCTCAAAGGTGTTTTTAGGCAGGGTGATGAGCCAGGAGCTCTGGGGATGTGGGGCTGGAGGGGGATCCTGGGGATGGGAAGGACAGGGGAGCTGCAGGCCAGCCTTATGCACTGTGCAGGGACAAGTCTCAGTGGCTTGTGAGGAGATAACACATCACGGTGAAGCCTGAGCCCATTAGCAGCTGGTAATGAGCAGGTGTCCCATAGCGGGGCTGAAAAATGGCCGTCTGTCCAGGGAGAGATGCAGTCTGCAGGAAGACGCATATAGGCTCTGGTGTAAGCACCAGGGCACCAGGTGCCTTTGCAGTTTTAGGCTCTGGGTGGGAGTGAGGAGGCGTGGTGTGTGTGTGTGTGTGTGTGTGTGTGTGTGTGTGTAAGATGAACACCAGGCACAGTATTAGAAGATTGGGGTTCAAGTCCTATCCATTCTCATTCATTCCTTTCACAAACACTTATCGAGCATCTTTTGCAAGTGAGGCTCTGTATTAGGGGCTGTAATGTATCATTAGACCCAGAATTATGAATCTACTGGGGAGGGGCCGAAAGGAAGGGGATCCACATTTATGGACCACTTATTTTGTGCTACCTTTCCTATTGCTGCTGTGTACATGATGTGGTGATTTCAGTAACCCTGTGTGTGTGTGTGTGTGTGTGTGTGTGTGTGTGTGTGTGTGTGTGCGCGAGGCTCAGAGAGGTTATGTAACTGTCCCAGGTCGCCACAGCCAGTAGTGCTAGGACTCAAGATCCCAGGGCTGTCTGCTGCCCGAGTTCACATTCTTGATCCCTCTCTCTGCTGCCTAAACATGAAAGTCCATGTCTGTGACCTTCTTCTTTCTTTTGGTGTTTGGAATCAACGTTGGGGCTAGAAACTTGGTGAGCATCTTGTCTACCCCTTTCACTTGAAAGAAGGGAAAACAGAGGCTCTAAGAGAAGCAGGGAATACCCAGAGGCCCCAGAAAATAGAGTCAGGGCAAGTGGGAGGACGGAAGTTGCCACTGGTGTAGGAGGGTGGCCCCTGGAGCACTGTCACCAATCTTACAGTGGTGGCCAATGTGGACCCAGCTGAGGCCTGGTCAGGAAATCTGGTCTACACCCCGAGGCTGTGTTAGTCCTGGGAGGAAGAGGAGGGGGGGCCCTCCCTCCTTGCCTGGTGTCTTAAGCTCTGCTCTCTGGGTCCCTCAGGTTAGTGACTCCTCTGCCTGTCCAAAGCCTCTCTCCTCTCCCCACAGCCTCTCGCTGGCCTGGGCAGCCTGACTAACCACCCACATATCCCATCCTTTCCGACCCTGCAAATCCTCAGCCCTGAGTTCTTGGCTCAGATTCAGCTAAAGGAGACTGAAGACCTACTGTAAGCTGAGCACCTCATTACCATCCAAGAACTTGGTACATCAATTCCCTTCATCCTCCTGGGGAACATTGTGCTGCCATCATTTCTTACCCTCCATCTTGAGACTCTGACCTTCGGTCAGCATTACTGACTTTCTAGCTCTGTTCCCCTGGAAACCTGATCAAGGTAAACTGTTGGCTGTGACCTAGGCAAGCTGGCAGGTGTGAACTAGTTGGTAAACTGGATCTGGATGGAGAGAACTCTAAATGTTGCCGGGAATACCACACTTGGGATTGCCTTGTGTCTGATGCCTTTGTTACTGGCCATCTCCTTTTCAGGGACCTAGGAATCTAGGCTATGAATTTGTTACAGGAGGTCCTGGCTCCTGTGGAGCGGGAGGCTTCTAAAACAGGGCAGCGCTCACTCCTGTCCCTTGTGTGTGTGTGTGTGTGTGGGGGGGCGGTGAAAGGTCTCCAATGGCTGGGTGGACGGCTCCAGGATTGCTGGCAGGGTGTGGATTCCACTCTATAACCTGAGCAGATCATTGCCAAGTTCGGCCTATGCTGGTCTGATGAGTCTGAATGTTTAAGAGAAGGTAAAGAAGACCCCAGATATGTCACAGGGTAACTGAGACTCAGAGAGGTGAGGTGACTTATGCCAGGTCACCCAGTCAGCTGGACTCCCAGCCTCCACCCTTTTTCCTGATCTGCTGGTGGGGGGGCCTACCTCAGGCCGCACGGGGTCCTCAATGCCCACCACACAGATGCAAGTGAGGTCGTTCAGGATATCATTCTCATTATCCCAGTCAGGCTCGGGGCTGCTGGGGAAGTCGCGATAGGCCACACAGATGGTGCGAAGCCCATCACAGGCCATAGGCTCGATCACCTTCTTCACCATCTCATCCCGGTCACGGGGCCGGAAGACCCGGGGCTCACCTGACTCGTTGAGGATTTTGCAGCACCTGAGGGGTCGGGGGGAAGGAGAGGGTGGGATGGAGATGGTAAGGTCCAGCCAAAGGCCCAGAGATCTTTCCTCTGACTGGCTCAAGTTCACCTCCTTCTCCCCAGTGATGCCCAGCTGGCTGTGGCAGGTCATCCTATGCCTGTCCAGTCCATCTCCCATAAGGCTCCAGGACTGGTCCAGGCCCCAGGGGCCCCGGGTAGGAACCACCAAAAAGAAATCAGGCAGCCTTCTTGTAATATCTGCCCCAGTGCACTCAGCAAGAGCAGATTTACTTTTATCTGTTTTATATTTACAAGACTCACTTGAAAAAATAGTTCTACAGCTAAAACAGCTTTTAAAGGGTATAAAACGTAGGCTAGTGGTTCTTGACCCTGCTTGCACATTAGAATGGCATGGGGGAACACAATACATAAATACCCAGGTGGGAGCCTTACTCCCGAGGTTTCAGTTCAGTCTGTCTGGGTTAATTGAATGGTTTCTTTAAAGCTCCCTGGTTGATTCTAGGGTGTAGCCAGGGTTCAGAATCACTAGGCTAGACCAATTCTTTCAAGGTACAAGTGGGGAAACTGAGGCCCAGAGTCTGGGAGTAACTTGCCTAGTTTTCTAGGCTTAGTTCTGGTACCTGGAGTCAGAGGAGACTGGCTGACAGTGAAAATCACTACCATCCAGAGAAGAGGAAGAGGAGAAGGGGGAGGAGGAGGAGTATTCTCGATAGAAATTTTAAAGAGGAAACAGTGGAAAAAGTACTGGGCAAGGGACCTGGAGGTGGGGAGGGCCCTCTCTGAGCCTTTGGGTGCCAGATGGCTCCCCTGGCTGGACAGTGGAGCTGTGACACCCATGACCCCTGGCTCCCCGCGCCACCGCCCGCTCGTTGTGCCACTTACTTCTTGAGCACGATCTCAGATGCGCCCTTGCTGTACATGCGGAAGCTCTCGTCCGGCAGCTTGATGACTGTGCTCATGGACTTGCGTACAGAGTTGAACGTGTACACTTTGTACAGCTTCTCCTCTGGCATCTGGCTGCGCACGGCATCGTAGTCCTGCTTCAGGTCCAGCACGAAGCCCAACAGGCCGCACTCAGTCTTGTTGCCCACCTGCCGAGGCAGTGCGCCCTCCTTCTCTGGGGGCTGTGAAGACACAGGTGGGGGGAGTTCATAGGGAGTTGCCTCTGTGGTCTGAGGGGTGGGGGCCAGGCTCTGGGAGCCTTTTGCCTTCCCCTGCACCCTCAGCCCTCTGCATCCCAGACACAATCCTGGCTCTGAATGCAAGGAGTTATGCAAGATCTACTTTTCAAAAAAATAAAAAAATAAAAAAATTACAAGCTATTTCAAACATACAAAAGTGATAGAAAAGAAAAAGAATCTTAGCATTATGCCTTCTTTTCTTCAGATTTTTCTTTTTAAAAAATTTTTTAAATTGATTTTTAGAGAGAGAGGAAGGAAGAGGGAGAAATAGAAACATCAATGATGAGAGAGAATCACTGATTGGCTACCTTCTGCACATTCCCTACTGGGGATTGAGCCTGCAACCCAGCATATGCCTTTGCCCGGAATCGAACCCTGGACCCTTCAGTCTGCAGGCCAACGCTTTATCCACTGAGCCAAACCAGCTAGGGTGAGATTTTTCTTTTTTAAGAAGAAAAACAAGACAGGTAAAATTGCATCCCCCCCCCCCCCCCATGTATCTCTTTCCATCTGTATAATCCATTCCTTGTTTCAGAAAGAACCTTCTCTTAAATTTAGCATTAATCATTACCTTGTATGTAATTTTTCCCCTCCTTAAACAACGGAAGTTTACTTTCCCACAGTTCGGAGGCAGAAGTCTGAGATCAATGTGTCAGCAGGATTGTTCTTCCCCGAGGCCTCTCTCGTTGGCTTATCCTAGTAGATGGCTATCTTCTCCCATGTCTTCACATGCTCTTCCCTCTATACAAGTCCGTGTCCTAATCTCCTCTTCTTATAAGGACATTAGTCATATTGGATGAGGACTCATTCTTAGCACCTCGTTAAAGACCCTATTTCCAAATACAGTAACATTTTGAGGTACTAGGAGTTAGAACTTCAACATATGAATTTAGGGAGACACAATTCAGCTCACAACACTTTCCAATAGGTATTAATCCTGACCAGTAGAGAGCAGTCATGGGACTTGACCATACAGGTTTCCTCCTGCCTCTACCCTGCCGGTCTCACATCCAGTAGCAATGTTACTCCCTACCTCCCTGCTCCCTGGGAACATCCAGTATCTCTCTTTTGTTCTGATGCAACTAAGCCAGGCTGGTTTTGTATAGATCTGTAATCCTGGTTGCACCCAGAATTACATAGGAAATTTATAAATTCTTAAAATGTTTTTTCAATTACAGTTTACATTCAATATTATTTGTATTAGTTTCAGGTGTATAGCATAGTGATTAGACAATCATATTGTTCTCTCTGATATTCCCAGTACCCAATTGGCACGCATGATACATAGTTATTACTATATTATTGACTATATTTCCTATGCTGTACTTTCCATCCCCATGACTATTTTGTAACTATCTATACTTGTCATTCCTTCACTTTTTTCACCCAGACCCCAATCTCCCTTCTGTCTGCCAACCAGCAGTCTGTTCTCTGCATCCGCAAGTCTATTTCATTTGTTTGTTTATATTGTTCTTTAGATTCCACATATAAGTGAAATTATATGGTATTTGTCTTTCTCTGTTTGACTTATTTCATTTAGCATAATAATCTCTAGGTTCATCCATGCTGTCACAAGACCATTTATTATTTATATTTTTGATTTTTTTTCTTAAAGAAGACCCTTTAATAGTTCTTTTAATACTGGTTTGGTGGTGATGAACTCCTTTAGCTTTTTCTTCTCTTGGAAGCTCTTTTTCTGTCTTTGATTCTAAATTATAGCTTAGCTGGGTAGAGTAATCTTGGTTGTAGATTCTTGCTTTTTATTTCTTTGAATATTTTGTACCAATCCTTTCTGACCTGCAAAATTTCTGTTGAGAAATCAGCTTATAGTCTTATAGAAGTTCTCTTATAGGTAACTTTTTCTCTTGCTGTCTTTAAGATTCTCTTTGTCTTTAACTTTGGCATTTTAATTATGATGTTTCTTGGTGCGGGCTTCTTTGGGTTCATCTTATTTTGGACTCTCTACACTTCCTGGATTTGTGTCTAGTTCTTTCACTAGGTTAGGGAAGCTTTCTGTCATTTTATTTTTCAAATAAGTTTTCAATTCCTTGCTCTCTGACTTCTTCTGGCACTCCATGATGTGAATGTTGGTACACTTGAAGTTGTCCCGAGGTTCATTCTGCTATGTTAATTTTTAAAAAATATATATTTTATTGATATTTTACAGAGAGGAGGAAGGGAAAGAGATAGAAAGCTAGAAACATCAATGAGAGAGAAACATCCACCAGCTGCCTCTTGCACTATTGGGGATGTGCCCGCAACCAATGTACATGCCCTTGACTGGAATCGAACCTGGGACCTTTCAGTCCGCAGACCAACGCTCTACCACTGAGCCAAACCGGTTTCAGCTATGTTAATTTTTTGAATTATTTTTTCTTTTTGCTGTTTGGATTAGGTGTTTTCTGTTTCCTTATGTCCCAAATCACTGATTTAATTCTCTGCTACATCTACTCCACTGTTGATTCCCTATAATTGAGTCTTCATTTTAGTTAGTGTATTTTTCATTTCTGATGGGTTCTTTTGTATGATTTCCATGTCCTTTTTTATGCTGTTGACATTCTCAGTAAGTTCTTTAAGCACCCTTAAAACTATTGTTTTGGACTCTATATCTGATAGTTTGCTTGCTTCCATTTCACTTCATTCTTTTTTTCTGGATATTCCTCTTCTTATTTCATTTGGGACCTGTTTCTTTATCTCCTCATTTTGGCTGCCTCTCTGTGTTTGTTTCTAGGTATCAGGTAGAAATGCTATCTCCTGGGCTTGGCATAGTGGTCTTAGTTAGCAGTATCCTGTAGGACTGTTGGTGCAGCCTCCCCAGTCATCCAAGCTGGGTATTCCAGGTGCATCCCTGTGTGGGCTGTATATACTGTCCTGCTATAGTTGAACCTTGATTACTGTTGGCATGCCACTGGGAGGGATTGACCACCGGGGTGATTGGATGTGAGGACAAGTTGTGACTCCAGTGGAGGAACTGCTATGCAGGAATCAACCCTATGTAGCAAGACTTGCTTCTGTAGGGTTTTAGTGCCTGCTGAGTCCACTCCTTGAGTGTGTCATGCATGGAGGTTGGAGAGTTGTAATTTGGTGTGGCTTGAAGCTGTCCACCCAGGTGAAAACCAAATTAAATGCTATTTTTGTAGGTCAAAATGGTCAAACATTGACAGTTTTATAACCTAATGTACACGTGTGTGTATATGTGTAATGCTATTTTGCAGGTTGAAAGCTTCTTGCTTTACTCATGTAGCATTACATTTTTGAGAATCATCTGTGTTTATTGTGCTAGTTTTCACTGCTCTATGAATTAAATTCTGTGGTAAGCCACAATTCACTTCTCTATTCTCCTGCTCCTTCCTTTTTCCTTTTCTCCAGCATTTGGCACCGGCAAAGGGTTGGCCTTCCAACCCAGGTGCTGGGCTGCATGAACACCACAGTCCCTGTCCCAAGACTATCAGTGAACCACCGACTACATCCCCCAGCTCCTCTCACTTTTGCAGTGGCTGCCTAAACCGGGACTGCTTCATGGCTCTGTATCTACACCTCTTCCCTGCCAGGCAAACTCCTCCTTGCCCTTTAAGGGCCAGCTGAAATCTCTCTCTTTTTGAAAATGGCCCTGAATGAAGGAGTTGTATTCTTTTCCCTGTGGGTTCCTAGGGCCAGCACAGAGCTCAGTATGCTATAGGCACGTGCTAATTGTTTGCTGGATGGCTCAATGCAGACCACTCTGGTGGGGGAGGTGTAGGTTAACAGGTTAGAACAAGGCACCTCCTTGGGCAATTGTGGGATTAGAAGAAGGTTATGGAAAGTTCTTATTTGCAGATAAACTCACTTCTCCCACAAACTCACACAAATGTGCATACAACCACTCATAGTATTTGTACAAAATTAACATGTACCTACTCAGAAAGCCACCACAGTTAAACCCAAACTTTAGAGAGAATTTGAAGAGGAATAGCTACCTATGAATGTACCCGAATCTCTCTCCCCCCGCTTTTGCCCCCTGTACCATTAGTGGCTTTTCATGGGTTTCAGGCTGGCCTTGCACATAAACCCTCTGCATCCTGACCCTCAGCCTTCCTCTTATTGCTCAAAAGACCAGCCTAGACTGGAAGGTGGACTCTAGAAGATGCTAACATGGACCAGCTATGTGGGTGATAGACAGCAACTGGACACGTCTCTTGCCTCCCCTCACTTCTACACGTAGGGCTTAGGCTGCGGAGCTGACCTGAGGCCTGTGGGGTCATGAACATTGATCACTTGACCATTCTGAGACCCAGGACTCATAAGGAGGACTGAGCCTTGGACTCCAACCCCTTACCCTCAGTTTCTCATTTGCAAATGGAGACACTGGAGCAGAGGATCTCTAGCTGAGAGAAAAATCAACCCCTTTACAACTCTTCTCATCAAGCAGATCAGGGTGAGTGACGGTAGGGCAAGGCAGGACCGTACGCGTGGAAATGAGGCTCAGGACACCCTTCTTGCTCCCATGCCATGCTGGCTCCATCTCCTAGCTCTTTGGTGTGATTTGCTGTGAAAGCAAAGGAATCTTTGATACAGCGTTCCATTTCTGACGTTTGGGAAAACAAATTCTCAGCCCTCTCCTTCGTGTCTGCAGAATGCTGTTATATTGTGCTTTTAAAATTTATATATTTATTTACTTCTTATTTTATTTTTAAAACAGTTTTATGATTAACCTTCCGGTGATTTCCAGAATTTTATGTATTTTCCACAATAGTTTCTTTCCCCCTCCACAAATAAAAGAAAATGACAACACAGAGCATTTAAATAAAAATGCCTAATTACTTATTTGCCCAAGAGAGCTGAGCAATTATGCCTGCAAAACACCCGGCATTTTATTACCCTCTGTGAAATATTTTAATTTTCCTCTAAAAGGATTTCAAGCAATCCATGGTTGCAAATGGCAGAGTTGCCTCCCCCATAATTCA